ACAAATGAAGAGCTTGAAGACTACAGTAATGCGTTAACTCCCGGCATTTTCCTGCAGGCAAAGCAGCTCACACATTGTCAAAACTTATTACGGAGCAACAACCCTCAGTGCGACCTCCGCAGCTTGCCAGCCAAACTCTGCTAACAGGAGGAAGTGCTTACAAGGACTGTAAATATACGATCTCCATCAACGCTTCAATGAAATGTATGAAACTAACCGATAAGGAAGATATCATTAGTAACGGAAGAACCTTGTCGCTCTCGGGAGTGAACCAGTCGTGGGGCTCCTTTCACCCCCTTCGCCAGTCACGTCGCCGGCTTAACGTCAAGTCATCACCACCACCAACCACACACACACACACCACCTCATCAACTCACCACCACCAACCACACACACACACACACCACCTCATCAACTCACCACCACCAACCACACACACACACACACACCACCTCATCAACTCACCACCACCAACCACACACACACACACACCACCTCATCAACTCACCACCACCACCACACACACACACCACCTCATCAACTCACCACCAACCACACACACACACCACCTCAACTCACCACCAACCACACACACACACACCACATCAACTCACCACCAACCACACACACACACACACACCACCTCATCAACTCACCACCAACCACACACACACACACACACCACCTCATCATCAAGTCACCACCAACCACACACACACACACACCACCTCATCATCAAGTCACCACCAACCACACACACACACACACCACCTCATCATCAAGTCACCACCAACCACACACACACACACACACCACCTCATCAACACACCACCAACCCCCACATCAAGTCACCACCAACCACACACACACACACACACCTCATCATCAAGTCACCACCAACCACCAACACACACACACACACACACCACCTCATCATCAAGTCACCACCAACCACACACACACACACACCTCAACTCACCACCAACCACACACACACACACACCACCTCATCATCAACTCACCACCAACCACACACACACACACACCACCTCATCATCAACTCACCACCAACCACACACACACACACACCTCATCAACTCAGCAGACATCCCGTGGTCTGCGAAGGGCGTCTGGTCGAGGCTATTTAAGGTGTGACAGGAAATTACTAGTGGTGGCTTCCTTGCCCGTAGTGTGGTGATGTCAATGTCTCGCACGCCATCAAGTAGTGAGCTCTTACCACCCAACAATTTACGATACATGCTACTCTCTCTCTCTCTTACATGCACAACACTCTCGCTCGATGGCAACTCCACTACATGTGTAACTTGCCTTTTAGGTGGTAAGGTCTTCTTTTGGAGAGGGGGAGGTAAATATTTCCTTTGTTTATAGAGGTTTTAGTCACAAATGTCTGACGGAGGGGATCGACACACCTCCCGCGCCACCTTGAGGGAAACTGACGGAGTCTCTGTGAACGGCCGTGAGCAAGTTAACGTAAGAGTTGACATATTTCCTTTTTCTACATATTATTACTTTACTAGGCTATATACAACTTCGTTTATTCAAAACTAATGGTTAATATGTTACTCTAAACGCTACTCAAATCAAGTTCAGTATATATATGAACTTTATAAAGCAAAATCAAAAACTTTACTTAGGAGGATTCCAGTTCGACAAGTTAGGCACTCGACGTCGTGGATTCCGCTTACGACTACCACTACCATTATCTTTATGGTCAAGTTCAGTGACGGAATTATCGCTCATATCGTCACAAATATCCATGCCAGTCTCAACTCTTAGTTGCTTGGTCTCTCTATATGCATAGTTATGATCTCCTCCAGCCTTTCTTATTAATATACCGGCTATACCAACCCTTGTTTAACTGGTCCCAAAGAGTGGGCTCCACTCTGAGGATGTATAGACGTCTCTGTTTAAAGATGACTAACACATTTATCTCTCTTCAATAATGTAATTATTCCGCGGAAGACATTTTTTTGGTGTTTTTCAAATAAAACAAAACGAAATGTACTCTGATGTGTATTTTATTTAATATAGTCCTCCATCTGCCTGCCCCCTTGAGCTCAAGAGATATAATGCGAGTTCTTGAGGAATGATGGACGCTCAAATACGTGTCATTATACTCAGTGTCCGTAAGTTTGATGGCAGTTTACTCCCCGTCAGTCCAGTTACTCAAGTTTAGTGTCTTAATTTGGCGTTGAGGCCCACACGGGAGGGTTATTATTATTTTAGATTCAGCTACTCTGAACAAAACGTTCGAAGTAGCACGGGCTATGGTGAGCCCATAGTGGATTTACCTGGCACAGGAGAGGGGCTGGAACTGTGCGGGAGGGTTATTAAGGCCATCACAATAGCTTACTGACCAGCTTTTGGCTGGTCACTTGTGTCCCCGAGCGGGACAAGTGATTAGGCACGTTTCCTTTTTCCTAATGCCTCTGTTCACCTAGCATTAAATAGGTACCTGGGAGGGACTTAACTATTGTGGGGTTGAATCCTGGACGAAGACATACCTACCTTACCTTTTATCCCTCATTCCCTACCAGTAGGGAAAGGTAGGCATGCCTTTCCCTACTGATACTTATTTCTGAAATGAAATTTGATTTATGTTAATAATTTAGTGATATGGCTAATAAATTGGGATTTTATTTTTTAATTTAAAGTTTCAGGCCTCTTCCCACATCTGAAGTATTAATGTGGCCCATTTATACAAATATATTAGGGACCCCTTCAAAATATGGAAGTGAACCACCATGGGGATATTACACAAATGACATACTCCTTCAATATCATAAACATTATCGTGCCTTACACAATTAACTCTTTTTTTTTTTTTTTACTTCCTGAATAAAGTCCTTTGCAGCTATAATAATTTAGGAATAGGAATTTAGTTACCAGGAATTTAATAAAATTTCCTCAACTCTATACGTATTAATACCGAAAAACCATAAATATATATATACACCTTATGATCTTCCTCACATCATTTTATTAGACATCTCATGATGATACAGGATCTGATCCACATCTACAACTATGAAACACCTTCACCACTAAATTTGTGTTATTTTCTGTACTCTCAGATAAAATAGAGCCTCCTTAAGTACAGTAATTATCAAAAGGTGGCACCAAGCCAGAAAGACACTTTAGCACTGCCTGTGTTGTGGGATATTCCAAAGGTCCTTAATATTAGAGAATCTCAATACTAGAGCACAAAAAAGTGATGAGCATCATCAAAGGTGTTGGATTCACCAAGGATCTCATCGAGGGACAAATGACTCGGACACACATTGGAATAACAAGGCCTACAATCCTCCTGAATAACTCCTTTGTAATTCTTACACTACTGTACTTTCACTTTTTATATAATACAGGCAATTCTCTTATTTGATGCAAGGAATTCTTTGCAGAAGTGAATCCAGCATGTCTTACTAACTGTAATCTCCATGGCAGCTGAAACTGCCAAAGAGATTTTAATTGATAAATGAAAACTTTAGAATCAAAATAACATATATACTTTATATTCTTCAACTGGAGGAGAGTACACATAAATGAAATATAAACTGTTCCCAATTAAAGTGTGCATACCTAGTCCTAAATACTGTTTACCTGGTTGATACCTGGTTGATGGGGTTCTGGGAGTTCTTCTACTCCCCAAGCCCGGCCCGAGGCCAGACTTGACTTGTGAGAGTTTGGTCCACCAGGCTGTTGCTTGGAGCGGCCCGCAGGCCCACACACCCACCACAGCCTGGTTGGTCCGGCACTCCTTGAAGGAAACAATCTAGTTTCCTCTTGAAGATGTCCACGGTTGTTCCTGTAATATTTCTGATGCTCGCTGGTAGGACGTTGAACAACCGTGGACCTCTGATATTCATACAGTGTTCTCTGATTGTGCCCATGGCACCTCTGCTCTTCACTGGTTCTATTCTGCATTTTCTTCCATGTCGTTCACTCTAGTACGTTGTTATTTTGTTTGTAGAATAAATATTTATTCTGAACATTTAAATATTTACAGTATATCTATCCAGATGTATATAAAAAATAACCCCTCTGTAAGAAAGGTTTCCTCAACCAAAATAATACACAACTTAATTCATGTAAGGAAGATTAAACACAAACTACCATATTTAGGAAATGTAGATGTTTATCTCTCAGAATGTTTGGTAATATGTTTATTGTTTGTGATGTGTGTATATGTATGTATTAACACGATGTACTGAACGGGGGTGAGAATAGCTTGAGCTACCTCATCCCTTTGTGTGTATTTTACCTCAATAAACTTATTTCAATTTCAACCATATTTACATAAAATTGTATCCTTCAGTAAAACAAAAGCACTTCATGTTCAGTAATCTTATACTGTAGAATTATGTTAAATAGTTGGTAACAATATACACTCTCAGTATATTTAATTCATGAAGTTCTCACAATGTCCATAACACTAATTATAGCAGCATCTAGTTCATCATCTCACCAGATAGTTTTATTGTGGTGATCAGCTAGCAGGAGATGAAAACCTAAATATTTCTTATACAGGTCTTTTTTAATTTTAACCATATGAAATACAAACTAATTCCTGAACTATATGAAAAAAATAAAACAGCTGATACACACATCATACAAGTTCCATTTTTAGAAAGCAAGAGGGTCATCCAAGACTATACGAAGTACTTAGTAATAAACAAGTAATTTTTTATTTATTTTTATTTATTGATTTATATATATACAAAAGTTGTTACATTCTTGTACAGCCACTAGTACGAGTAGTGTTTCGGGCAAATCCTTAAGCCTATGTTCCCCGGAATACAACCCCGCAAAAAATCGTTTAACCAGGTACCCAATTTACTGTTGAGTTAAACAGAGGCTACAGTTAAGGATTTGTGCCCAGTAAATCCTCCCCGGCCAGGATACGAACCCAGGACAAAGCGCTTGTGAAATGCCAGGCGAGCGTCTTAACCACTACTCCACGGGGACTAATTATAACTTTAATGTGAATTAAATTTGCATTAAGGATCTACTACAGAGTTTAATTACTATAATTAACCAATGGTTTTAGTTTCACATGCCAGTTAGTGCAGAAACTAGTTAAATGATAACTATGCACTTTGAGGAGAAATGGATGGTGCTGTGAACCCAGCTAAGGGATCAGAAAAATTATACATGTCATTCATACTGTCTTCTCTCTCTCTACACTTATCATCATACTCTGGGCCTACTGTCCATAGTGTCTCCAGGTCATAACTTTCCCTCAGCTCCTGCCGCATCATGTGCAAAGCGATGTTACCTGCAATTGTAAACACGCACTTAAATTTTCTGTATGGTATTAAAAAGTACATACTGTACTGTAATTTTATACTGAATATGTTGAAAAGCAAACAACTTTTATTAATATTGGATCTGGTTCCAATTAATCAGGACAGTTAAAACCCATTATACCTTATGGTACAGTACAAGCGCAGTAAATATATTTAACAAATATTTTCACTAGGACTTAAGAATCCACCCTTTTGAAAGGGTGGATTTTGCCCACCCATTTGAAAGTTTGTTCCCATATAGTTCTGGAAGCTCCAAACTTTGAAATATAGTTCTGGAAGCAAAATATTTATAGCTTTTTAAGTGTTCATTTATACCGAGGTCTAGATTTTTGAGGTTCCACTGTATTCATAAAAACACAGTGGTGACCAATTTGAGCATTTATGAATAAAGTTTTATAAATGTGAATTTTGGGTATTTATTACACAGTACTGCACTAAAATTTGTGCAACTCTGCTTAATATTAACACAAAGCCTACCTTTATTATTATACACAAGTGTTCATAAATCAAGTCAATACAATGTTGCAGATAAATACTATGTAGACTTTATTTGGAGATAACATTTCTTCTGCAAGTTCATCAAATCAAACAGGTGCATACCTAGTGATTACAAAGGGGTACAGTGGGAGGGGTGAGGCCAGGGTGAAGGTGACGTAGTGAGGTAAGGGAACACGATTCAGTCACAATATGCATGGAGTATTTATTTAGCAAACGGAGTAGCAATGTAACATTTTCATAGCTTCTGTTCAACGACGTTGTAGTGTTTAATGACTGCAGACTTTAAAACATGTTTTCATAATTGATGCTGAATTTATCATCTCAAAAGTTCATGTGTTCGTATGTGTGGTGGAAGCTTTGTTAGCATTATCTACAAAAAGAAATGAATTCTCAAGATACTAATGATATGAAATATTTAAATAAGTTATAGGACTATTTTTCTCAACCCCCAATGGAAAGTTTACATTTATGATTATATATATTTTTGCTTTTTTCAAGTCAATACCAGTGGTGCACCCACAAATTTACTTACTTTGACGAGAAGCAAATAGATTCATTCTGTCACTTTTGGACAGTAAATTGAAAGTACCATGCCACTTCCTTTTGTTTGATAAAGTCTACATAAAAATAATAACCATAAACACATCTATGGAAGTACTGTACTATAAATGCAGAAGACATTTTATAATTCACTACATATTCATTATATTCTAAATATTTGTAACCTTGGAAAGGAAAGGAGGGCCAAATGTCTAACTGCCAACCTCTTGGGTATGCCACTAGTCAGTACGATGAGACGCTTCCAAGGTTTTGCACAGAAATCTTGCAAAAGAAAAAGAGGAGCACTGAGCATAATGAAACTCCACTTTGTGTGGCCACTCAGTAGCTCTTAAAAGGCACTTGCACCACAGCCTCACATATGTACTGTTCTAAGTTAGAGACTTACAGGACCTACTGGAAACCAGGACCAAAGCCTGGTTCTCTCTGAGAGGTGAGAGGAGCATGGAGATCAGGAAAAATTGCCACTTCTCCAAGGTAGCAAAGAACTGTTTAAGAGCCAAGAAGAAGCCGAGACAGAGGCTTCCGACCTCCCCCACTCCCTCCACACACCATGAAGTACCCCCAAAGAGATTCAATACCAACAATGAGAAAACAGCTGATGAATGAGTGGGCTTCACTGGTGCTGCAAACTGCTATGGAAGCAGCACCTGAGCCACTAGCACAACATCTGCTGGTGCCTGCAGGGCATCGAGCCCAAATCATTTTGGTGTCTTATCCAGCAGTGTGGAGTGGGAGGCCAAATGAGCCTCCAATGGCAAAGTCAGTAGTATTTAAAGAAGAAAATCCTTCTTGTAAAAGAAAATGATCCCTGGCTTCAGTGATGGAAGCAACCAAGAGCTACAAAAGCCTGCATCACAAGGCAAGAGCCTTGGCTAACCATCAGCTAACCACCAGGCAGGCATCCAGAAACTTCAAAGTGCACCTTGCTAAGCAGCAAGCAGCAAATTCCAGTCCTAAACTGGTTGGGGAAACTATCTGACCCAACCTATAGGGGCATGAGATCAATCTTCTGGATGCATGGAAATTGGCTGTCTTGGCCAAATAAACAATACAGTAGGTGGATGTGACAAGTGCAGAAGCATTGTCATCTACTGAACACTGAATCATGACAATTAGACAAAAAAGGAAAGACCTATGAAACTATGGATAAAAATCCATAGAAAATCCATGAAATCCATGAATTTAAGAAAGGGCCAGGTACAACACCCTAACATACAGCTAAGTAATCAACTCCCTATGAGCTGGCCTCACTTTGGCGACCAAGTTCAAAGCATTACCTGGGAGCAGGACATCTCGAAAGAAGCTGATCCGCAGAGGAACTCGAACCTCCTCAGAGAAGATAACTTTGGTAGGAAAAGTGAAATGCAAGCATATGATAGCTAAGACAACCCTGAAACTAAATCTGAGCAAAATAATTAATGGACATACAATGTGGATGATATAAACACAATCATGAGGCACAATTAATAAACAATAATTTAAACATCCATGTATGGGAAAAGTGTCCCAAGGAACACTGAACACCACTTAGCTTTGAGGGACAGAGACAATGGTCCTTACAGGGAAGGCACGAATAAGTCAGTAGCAGGCTTGCAAATGAGAACGGTGGCAGACTGCAATCCTTGGGTTACATGAGATGCCACCTGGTGGGGGCCAGGCGAGTCTGGCCAAAGACTCTTTTAGCCACTAACGGTTATCATTTGCCTTATGGTCTTTATTAAGAGCAGTGGTTTGCTTTGTTTCACCCATGACATTGAGCAGTTTCCTTGCTTTTGGGTCAACCTTTGATGCTGTCTTTACCTGGCCTCTTAGAATCATTTTTATCCTGGTTCCCAATAGGCTACATGAGTCACTAGGTCTCTGGAACCTGATATGAATAAGAGGTTCTGTGATATGTGCTTTAAAATTCAGGGGCCAGATTCACGAAGCAGTTACACAAGTACTTACGAACATGTACATCTTTCCTCAATCTTTGACGGCTCTGGTTACAGTTATTAAACAGTTTACAAGCATAAAAACTTCCTGATTAACTGTTGTAATTGTTATAAACAGCCTCCTGTTGCTTCAGAGCTCATTAACTGTTTAATACCGTAACTGTAAATAAACCTGCCAAAGATTGAGAAAAGATGTACAGGTTTGTAAGTGCTTGCGTACCTACTTCGTGAATCTGACCCCTGGGAGCTACTGATGGGGACAACACAGAGAAGCAAACATACATAACAAAACTGTAAAGTAACTAATACTTGAAAATGTTCACTAAATCTACATACTGTAAGCTTCTCAAATAATGGAAATAAGAGATAAAGTAAAATACTGAACCTTACCCAAATCCATTGCAATCCAATTTGTCTTTTTGCCTTCAATGATCACAGATGGATCCTTCTGATGCTTCTTTCGCTTGTAAATCCTACGAACAAACTCGGCTAGAGCACTGATGTGCCTATTAGAGTTACTTGAAACAATCACTATATATGCAATATAATTTAATCTTGGGGGAATCTGTAAACAAAATTCAATGTTAGAAAATGCAAATGTACTACACAGTTAATTTATGATAAAACTTGAATGAGTTGAATGTAATGAAATGCCTCTTTGTAGTTGGTCCTTGGTGGTTCCTTAGTGCTTGCTACCTGGCAAACTCCACCCAATTTAAACACCAATCTCACACAAGTCATATAAGCTTACCAGGAACCAGAGGTCAAAACTATGTTCAGGAGCATAAGCATGCCAAAAGTGAAAAATGCATGATAACTTGTGAAATAGGGCCAACAAAATCACAACACCAAATGCTACCAGCAGTGGCTCTATCAAGGTTGAATGATACAAGGCAACAGTATGAGGCATAAAAAGCATATCCACAAACAATCAAAACAATTATAAGTGGATTATAGGTATGGAACCCGAGGGGCAAGCAAGAAAGAGAAAAAGATAGATGGAGTGCCAAGAAACTTCATACTTGTCATCATGACGAAACCTGCAGGTGAGACATCAAAAGATTGGCCACCAGCAGACAGTACAAAGAATGTTACAAGTGTCATTAACTCAAAACGTGTGGATCGGCGAAGAGCCTTGAACCACCGACAAACATAACTGGGGACAATCTGCTGAAAGATTTGGATAACAATTTGGGTTCCAACAATAGATCCAAAGGGCTGGGGAACAATAGCTAGGCCAGCCAAAAGGGTGCCAGCTGGAGAACTCAGTCATGGAATGTCTCCAGTTTGGAAAGTACCTAGAACAAGAGCTGAATTGTGGTGAAGAGATAAAGATAAAGAAACCCCCAACAATCCCAGTCTAGCCAAAACTCTAGTACCATGAGAGCCTTGCAATCAGGGAACAAGACCTTGCAAATCAGAAGCCTTGTTCCACACCAACACAAAGAGGTTCAAATCCACAAGGGCCGTGACAAGGATTTGAACCTGCGTCCAAGAGCATCCCAGACGCTGCCTTAATCGACTGAGCTACGACAGGGTCAAAAGAGTTGAAACCGAAGTTCTACTGAACTTACTGGATCCTGCAGTCTCTCCGAGACACAAACTAGGGTTTTACACAACTCCCCCATGCACTCGAGCTATGTCAATAGGCCGTTCTCCCTCTTCGCCCTTACTTCATTACAAATCCTTGTGGATTTGTTCATTTGATGCATCACGTTATTGTGATTTGTGTGTGTAACAAAGAGGTTCACTGTGGGGTAGCTGCTTCAAACATTTCTCAAAGCCGAAAGGACCGAAGACACACAATCCTGGGGAGACAAAAAGAGGCGAAAAGGGGGAAGAGAACAAAAGGGATGAGGACCAAGCTGAATCTACGGCATATGCCATCATGGCTTGCCGGCGAGACAGATGAACGGAACAGAAGCCTGCCACTACCTCTTGAAGAAGAGAAGCAAGCACCATGGGCAGGCACACCAGCCAAGGCCCTGCAAGTGAAGGCAACTGAATACGCACCTGCCACATACCCAAATCCCTAGACAAGGACAGCACAAATTGAAAAAAATTGAAGTGGTACAAAGCCATATCTTTGCCTGTTGAAACTATCAATTACCTATCTACTATCTAACTACAGTATCAATTATTTTGGTATATTGGCAGTACATTCTCCCCTTTTCTGAGGCCTTCTCCACATTTTTCTGATGGACTCTGCCTTTTAAGTTCATCACATACTACTCCTGCATAATAAAAATAACTTGGTGGACTTGGAAATATATTAGTAGGTGCAGAATAGACAACCCTTCCTCCAAATAGACAGTACATTTTAATACTAAATGTAATAAGTACATTCCTGACTGTCTGCATAGTACATAAATACACTTAATTGTGCCGTTACATTTACCTCCCCATATATTCTCCTAATTTTGTGTTAGTACACTCAAAATTTTTAGGTTGAAGTTTTCGTGTTCAATTCTATATACACAAGTTTTAAATATAAAGAATTTCTTTTTCAGTTTTATTAAACAATAGAGATTTTATACAAAACTTCAAAATATCTTTAAATGCTATTTCCATGCTTGTCCTCCTACACTCCCAAGGTTAGGTTAGGTCATGGTTTTCTATACAGCTTTTCAGGTAAACTCTAATATTCACAATATTTTGGTGCGATGCTGGCAATTAAGTGTATTTATGTACTATGCCAATAGTCAGGATTGTACTCATTACATTTAGCATTAAAATGTACTGTCTATTCGGAGGATGGGCTGAGAATAGACCCTGTGAAGAGTAGAGGTGCCATAAGCACAATCAGAAAACAAGGAATATCAAAGGCCCATGACTATTCTAATATAAATGAGGGAAATAGTGTGACCCAATTATCTAGACCAATTGTTACCTCATGGTGTCTGGATACCTGAAAATCTGAAATGCTGCAAAAAAATATCATGTGATATCATTGGAGCTAGATCAGGCTGGCTGCAAGGAAGCTTCAGGCATCTCTTCATACTAACATTGCTTAATCTTTAACTCTTCACAGGTTTTCTATATCAATTTTTGTGTTACTAGGTATTCTATTTCTCACATATTTCACTTTTATTTAACCCTTACACTGCTTCAATCACTATTTGTAATTGCCTCCTCTGTGCAAATTGCTATATGCAATTTCTTCCTCTTGAATTTAATTTTTTTTTCATCAGGCACACCACAATGTAGTACAGTACATGTATTTTAAAATAGTAGCTGAAAAGTGCAAGACTTGACTATGCAAGACTATGGAACTGTACCAAAGATTTACTATGTAATGTGCCAGTTTGAGTGTGTGGTGTCGCGACAGATCTCGAACCCTATCATGTAGGACAAACGGAAATGTGTGTACTGTATTGTATGTAAGCTTGTAAACATATAATGTGATTGCTTTGTGCAACTCGCTATGTATTGTAGCAGATCTTTAACCTGAGTACATAGAACAGACAGAGATGTATGATTGCTAGTTAACATTGTAAAAGCACTTCAATAACCTGTGATTGAGTGCTCCATAACCTGCTGCAGTATACAGTATATAGATCTCTAACCCTGTCTATGTAAGACAGGTGAAATGTATGCTGGTCAGCACTGTAAAAGTACTACAATCACCTTCTGTGGTCAAGTGTTCTATAGCTTACTATACTATACATTGTTTGAAAGATCATCATGCAAAGATCACCAAGGTAAATGGGGGAAACCTTCGACAAGCTGCCAGCTTCCTGTCCTTGTCGCGGTCACTAGGGTTAGAGGCGCTCAGGTAAATCAGATCTGCAACCCTGTCCATGGAGGACAGAACAAAATGTATACGCAGCATGCTAGTTAGCACAGTATACATGTATGGCCACATCTGTGCTAAATAATAAACAATACAAAATAGAAAAAAGCTAAGAGCGAGATAGTATAGTCTTACTTGACTAAAAAAAAATAAGGAATTTTTTTTTTTTACAGACACTTTGGGAATTATCTGTATATTGCAGATAAAACATCCGCCTCATCCAGTCAATCTGATTACTAATATCACAAAATACAGTCAATTAATTCAAATAATACTTTACCTGCATCACCACAATATCTTGAGCATTTTCTTGCCTCAAGAGATCCACTAGTTCATGAATATCAAACACGCCTGTCTCGCCACCTGAAAATCACAAAGTTACACAGGAGTTCAAGGATTTAATTCTAAAATATTCAAAAGAATTAAAACCCGAGTAGTCCGGTTTGCGAATGTGTCAATAAAAATTCTCTGTAATGCAAATTTTTATGATCTGAATTTGTGTGTGTCAACTGTCAACCTCTTTCAATCAAATTATTCTACTACTACTACTACTACTAAACATCTTCCCCATTACCACAACACTGAATGTCATAAGTGTCTTATCATTCGTATAATTAATAAATGTATTTACAGGTATAAGCCAGATTATAATGGGTGGGAAGGGAAGGAAGCAAGTAGACACCATGTCTTTCTATTATGTACCAGACATCAAAATTAATAATTAAGATGCTACTCTGAAACACTAAATTTGAATATTTACGAATAGATCAGGTCTATAAGATCTATCCATTTCTAGTACTGTATATACATACAGTAATTGTTATATACAATACTAGAAACTCATGGACAATGCCTTAACCCATTCACTGCAAGTTAGAATTTTTCTACTAACGAAAATAATTCCCTGTGAAAATCAGATTTATTCCAGGCACCTAAGAAGACACTTTATAATACTATAAGTTTGATCAGACATTTGACCTTAAGGACAGAAGTTTGAGTCTGGAAAGAGCTGCCATCTGTTGGAGAGGAGAGAAAACATCACCTTACATGGTAACTCAAGGAATGCAAACAATATCTCGCTAAATAATCCCCTGTAGACACACCTAATACTGTATGTACATATTTATATGATTTTGCCGAGATAATAATGGTTTTGTATATCGAGACATCATATAAAAATCTGATGTACAGTGTCTATAATTATGAATACTGTATTAGAGTTGATTTACAAGCTGGGTGTTATAGTTTCTATCTGTACATTTGTGAAAATAAATCAGTGGTTCCCAAGCTATTCCAATCGCATCTTAAAAAATTTAATTTATTTCCAGCACGGCATTCCAGTAGCTGATTTACCTTTTTTTTTTATTCCCTATTATTTTGATAAAGTATTTATTGAATTAACTTCAGTGAATCATTTTAAATAACTAAAACAATGAATTTAATTAACTATTTAATTAGACAAACTGTAAAGGACAAATGTTCATGAAAATATGAATACTGTATTACAAAATTTGTTAAATCACAAAAAATAACAGAATACAACAATGAATACTGTATAATTAAATGCCTCTTTATGGGCACCACCTCAGTACCTTTCCATAGTCTATGTCATCAACACGAGACATTGTGAATGTGCCAGGCTCCTGGAAGTTATCTCATGCCAACCAAGGATAAGGACCTTTTTAATCTATCTTACCTCCCCACCCTCAAAGAGGCAGTCTTGGAAAAACTAAATCTAAAGGGGTGATGTCATGCAGATGTGCATGTTGAGCTATGTTCAATAACGATACTGTAACTTACGTTGTAAAGTTATTTCGATTTCTTTTACTTCCTCTTTGACAATTCCGTCCTCTCTTCTAAGTCGTTCTTCATCATAATCGTATATAATCTCGGATGAGTGTGCATCAAACTTTTCATACTTCTGATGAATATACTGGGCCCACGCTGCAAAATGAATGCATTAATGTTGCCCATTAAGAAAAGTAATTTTATTGTTATCATACAGTATTATCTTTAATACAATAAAACTAAATTGCATAAATAGTCATATATACTGATTAAGGCTTTAACAAATACAGTAATAATCTTACTGTTTTCTGCCGATTTAGATTTTTCAGTCATTTCCGAAGAACTAACAGTCTTTACAGATGACTCTCTCTCCTCCATCCCTCCATCATCAGCATTCTTTTGTACATCTCCACACAAATCATTTTCATTCTTAATTTCATTATCATTATATTCAGTCGGAGCTACTCTTTTGGAAAAATCATTCTGCATCTCCCTTAGCAACTCTTTGACCTCTGGGTCTTGTGAAAAGTCAATACTCTCTCTGTTTTCCTTTTCCCAATCCTTTAACACACAATTAATACTTAAACTGCGGCTTGAAGACACTACTGCCGACTGAACTTTGAGATCACGTTGGACAGGATGTACCCCAATTAGCGTTTGAGAATGGAGATAACATCTTGTTTGCATACACCTTGAAGTTATCAACGATGAGGTCTTAGCGCACCATTCACAGGTTCTTGGCAACAAACGAAACATGACTGAGTGAACTTGCTCTTAAGTAACCCACCTGAAAATTAAACACTAGTTATGCATAGTATTAATTCATTAGAACAATTTATCTGAAGAGGCTTCAGACATTTAAATACTGAATAGCATTTAAACATTTAGGAGCTAGTCAAAGTTTATACTGTAAAACATATTACTTATAGGATGAAAATTATTAATTTTTTAAAAAGTCTATTCCATTACTGTACAGTGGCATCTCCCAATTTGAACCATTCTTAAACGAATCCCTCTAATCAATTAGCCAAATCTGACCATTGGATTTCCTCTCTGAAATTTGGATTTCTAAACAAAATATGAATTCCAGAAGGGTATGGCATGAAGCACTGGATTTCCATCAAATTTTTATATAATACAGTATATATTTTTTTCCCCAACCCCTTGGGCTGGACAGCAGAGCAATGGTCTCACTTCATTTTTTTTTATATATATATACAGTACAAGAGTTCTTACATTCTTGTAAAGTCACTAGCATGCATAGCATTTCTGCAAGCCCTTAATCCTAATTTTCCCTGGAATATGACCCGCCAAACTGTTTAACAATTAGATACTCAGTCACTACTGGGTGAACAGACACTACAGTTAAGGATTGGTGCCCACAGAATCCTCTCTGGGGCAAAATACGAACCCTGGCCAAAGCGCTCGTGAAGCGCCAGGCGAGTGCTTTACCACTGCATGGAGACTTCATGCTGGTTGGTGTTATAAGAGAGACAGGTTGGCATATAATCCCTGACCATCAAAGTGGTTGGGCACTATTCCTTCCCTCCCTCGTCCCATTCCAAATCCTTATCCAGATTTCTTCCAAGTGCTATATAGTTGCAATAGCTTGATACCTGGTTGATACCTATTTGATGGGGTTCTGGGAGTTCTTCTACTCCCCAAGCCCAGCCCGAGGCCAAGTTTGACTTGTGAGAGTTTGGCCCACCAGGCTGTTGCTTGCAGCGGCCTGCAGGCCCACATATCTACCACAGCCCAGTTGGTTCGGCACTCCTTGGAGAAAATGATCTAGTTTTCTCTTGAAGATGTCCACGGTTGTTCCGGCAATATTTCTTATGCTCACTGGGTGGTGCTTTCTCTTGATAATTCCCTTCCCTTCCTCCTCCTCCTCCTCCTTACCCCAACAATTGCAGTATATAATAACCTGATTTACATGAAGGCCACTAACCCTAGAGGCCTCAATGAGGACAGGAAGCCGGCAGCTTGTTGAACGTCCCCCCATTTGCCTTGAATAACGATATAGTGAATTTATATATGATTACAGTACAGTACATAGTACAGCAACAATTATAGTATACACTTGGCATCTCCCAATGTTCTATTTTTCTTTGTATGTGTTAGGTTAGGCCGACTGATTAAAGAGCAACCAATAAACGTTTAAGTTAATGAAATTATTTTAGGTTAAGGTTCAATATGGAGAAGGGAAGGGAACTATCAGTTAAGAGCACCAAGCCATTATGACCATATAGCACTGGGAAGGGGGTCAGGATAAGGATTTGGAATGGGACAGGGGAAAGGAATGGTGCCTAACCACTTGGACGATCGGGGATTGAGCGAGACCGTCGCTCTACCATCCATCTTCGTGTTCTCTACCATAAAGCACATGAACCTCTTCTACATGGGGGAAGAGTTCAACGGCCTGCACACAAAGGTGTAGACGAGTCTGGCCACGGTTCATCTCCTTACAATGCAAAGGCATTACAATCTAGATTAACTGTTGGCCTAACAGTAAAGGCAGCCACTAGCAAGCTGGCACAACCAGTACACGGGCTGTGATGATGGCTGCTGGAATAATAACCTGCCGTAATGTTGGGAGACGCGTCACAGTGGCACGGCTTGAAGGTTGTTTCTTAGACTTGATGCATTTCCTCCTCCTCTTCTTCTTCTTCTTTATGGTACGAGCAGTTTGGGTGTCTGAGGAAGGATTCTTCTTCTTGATGGGAACGTGCAGTTTGCATGAAGGTTGAGGAAGGCTCTAGGTGGCGTGGGCTGGGTGTTGTGTTGATGGCGTCAGCTGATCATGGGCTGTTCTCCAGCTCGCTTGTTCTCCGTAGTTAGGGGTTACGTTTTCTATGTATGATATAAATAAATAAATGTTTATTCAGGTAAGGTACATACATACAAGAGGTTTTACAAAAATTTATAGATTTATAGATAGAGCTAGTACATACAATGCCTAAAGCCACTATTACGCAAAGCGTTTCGGGCAGGAAAAACATTAAAGACTAAAACTTTGAGATTGTCCTGCTGGTCGGAGTTTTATGAATAGGTCAGATGTGGCCTAATTGTTAAATGACTGAGATATAATGCTTTAACTACTTAATATTTTTTGGCAGTGAGAGGTCTCCTCCTGATATGTTCTCGATATTAAAATATACTTTGAGCGTGATAAATACTTGTTTGAAATTAATTCTTGCACTATGATGTACTCACCTCGTTATAATAATATAATAATAATAATAATAATAATAATAATAATAATAATAATAATAATTTTTATTTAGGTAAAGGTACATACATAAAGAGATTTTACAAAGTTTGTTGGCTTTATAGATGCTTTATGCTTGCAGGGGTTGAGCTTTGGTTCTTTGGTCCTCTTTGGTCTATATCTTTGATCTAAATCTAAATTGAGGTCTTAGCGCACCATTCACAGGTTCTTGGCAACAAACGAAACATGACTGAGTGAACTTGCTCTTTAGTAACCCACCTGAAAATTAAACACTAGTTATGCATAGTATTAATTCATTAGAACAATTTATCTGAAGAGGCTTCAGACATTTAAATACTGAATAGCATTTAAACATTTAGGAGCTAGTCTCAAAGTTTATACTGTAAAACATATTACTTATAGGATGAAAATTATTAGATTTTTTAAAAAGTCTATTCCATTACTGTACAGTGGCATCTCCCAATTTGAACCATTTTTAAACGAATCCCTCTAATCAATTAGCCAAATCTGACCATTGGATTTCCCCTCTGAAATTTGGATTTCTAAACAAAATATGAATTCCAGAAGGGGATGGCATGAAGCACTGGATTTCCATCAAATTTTTATATAATACAGTATATATTTTTTTCCCCAACCCCTTGGGCTGGACAGCAGAGCAATGGTCTCACTTCATTTTTTTATATATATATATATACAGTACAAGAGTTCTTACATTCTTGTAAAGTCACTAGCATGCATAGCATTTCTGCAAGCCCTTAATCCTAATTTTCCCTGGAATATGACCCGCCAAACTGTTTAACAATTAGATACTCAGTCACTACTGGGTGAACAGACACTACAGTTAAGGATTGGTGCCCACAGAATCCTCTCTGGGGCAAAATACGAACCCTGGCCAAAGCGCTCGTGAAGCGCCAGGCGAGTGCTTTACCACTGCATGGAGACTTCATGCAGGTTGGTGTTATAAGAGAGACAGGTTGGCATATAATCCCTGACCATCAAAGTGGTTGGGCACTATTCCTTCCCTCCCTCGTCCCATTCCAAATTCTTATCCAGATTTCTTCCAAGTGCTATATAGTTGCAATAGCTTGATACCTGGTTGATACCTATTTGATGGGGTTCTGGGAGTTCTTCTACTCCCCAAGCCCAGCCCGAGGCCAAGTTTGACTTGTGAGAGTTTGGCCCACCAGGCTGTTGCTTGCAGCGGCCTGCAGGCCCACATATCTACCACAGCCCAGTTGGTTCGGCACTCCTTGGAGAAAATGATCTAGTTTTCTCTTGAAGATGTCCACGGTTGTTCCGGCAATATTTCTTATGCTCACTGGGTGGTGCTTTCTCTTGATAATTCCCTTCCCTTCCTCCTCCTCCTCCTCCTTACCCCAACAATTGCAGTATATAATAACCTGATTTACATGAAGGCCACTAACCCTAGAGGCCTCAATGAGGACAGGAAGCCGGCAGCTTGTTGAACGTCCCCCCATTTGCCTTGAATAACGATATAGTGAATTTATATATGATTACAGTACAGTACATAGTACAGCAACAATTATAGTATACACTTGGCATCTCCCAATGTTCTATTTTTCTTTGTATGTGTTAGGTTAGGCCGACTGATTAAAGAGCAACCAATAAACGTTTAAGTTAATGAAATTATTTTAGGTTAAGGTTCAATATGGAGAAGGGAAGGGAACTATCAGTTAAGAGCACCAAGCCATTATGACCATATAGCACTGGGAAGGGGTCAGGATAAGGATTTGGAATGGGACAGGGGAAAGGAATGGTGCCTAACCACTTGGACGATCGGGGATTGAGCGAGACCGTCGCTCTACCATCCATCTTCGTGTACTCTACCATAAAGCACATGAACCTCTTCTACATGGGGGAAGAGTTCAACGGCCTGCACACAAAGGTGTAGACGAGTCTGGCCACGGTTCATCTCCTTACAATGCAAAGGCATTACAATCTAGATTAACTGTTGGCCTAACAGTAAAGGCAGCCACTAGCAAGCTGGCACAACCAGTACACGGGCTGTGATGATGGCTGCTGGAATAATAACCTGCCGTAATGTTGGGAGACGCGTCACAGTGGCACGGCTTGAAGGTTGTTTCTTAGACTTGATGCATTTCCTCCTCCTCTTCTTCTTCTTCTTCTTTATGGTACGAGCAGTTTGGGTGTCTGAGGAAGGATTCTTCTTCTTGATGGGAACGTGCAGTTTGCATGAAGGTTGAGGAAGGCTCTAGGTGGCGTGGGCTGGGTGTTGTGTTGATGGCGTCAGCTGATCATGGGCTGTTCTCCAGCTCGCTTGTTCTCCGTAGTTAGGGGTTACGTTTTCTATGTATGATATAAATAAATAAATGTTTATTCAGGTAAGGTACATACGTACAAGAGGTTTTACAAAAATTTATAGATTTATAGATAGAGCTAGTACATACAATGCCTAAAGCCACTATTACGCAAAGCGTTTCGGGCAGGAAAAACATTAAAGACTAAAACTTTGAGATTGTCCTGCTGGTCGGAGTTTTATGAATAGGTCAGATGTGGCCTAATTGTTAAATGACTGAGATATAATGCTTTAACTACTTAATATTTTTTGGCAGTGAGAGGTCTCCTCCTGATATGTTCTCGATATTAAAATATACTTTGAGCGTGATAAATACTTGTTTGAAATTAATTCTTGCACTATGATGTACTCACCTCGTTATAATAATAATAATAATAATAATAATAATAATAATAATAATAATAATAATAATTTTTATTTAGGTAAAGGTACATACATAAAGAGATTTTACAAAGTTTGTTGGCTTTATAGATGCTTTATGCTTGCAGGGGTTGAGCTTTGGTTCTTTGGTCCTCTTTGGTCTATATCTTTGATCTAAATCTAAATCTTTGGTCTAAAATAGTAATTGCCTCAGTGCAATTACAGCTAAGCTCGTGGTGTTATGTCTTCCCTGCACAATTTGTCATGTGATGCTTTGTGTGAAGGAGGTATAGGAGGTGAGAATTCACAATCGACTTGAGAATGGTCCTGGACGGACCGAAACGTCGTCGTCCCTTCACCTTCTAGTGTGTGGTCTGGTCAACATACTTTAGCCACGTTATTGTGACTCATCGCCTGCATATGGTTCCCAGTAGCTGACTCTCAAACAACAAATAATCCATTCTTATCCACAGATCTTCAGTATCAGCTACTGGTACTGGTAATGGCTTCAAACAGCCGCCACTTAAGGGCTATTCATGCCTGTGCCATCTATTCGGTGGCTTAATCTATATAAATCAATCAATCAATAATCATCCTCAGCCCCGCTCCTGTGCGAGGTAAGTCCACTAGACAGGCTCACCACAGCTTTTGTTCATTTGAAACAACTTTTTGTTCCAAGTAACTGGATCTAAAACAATAACAACAGCAAGAAATAATCATCCCAGTAGCTGGACACCCTCATAAATACTGTCAAGCAGATATTGACCCCCGCGATAGCAGTCTGACTATTTAAATGCGACCGCAACACACAGGTCGCCACGGGAGACATCTCCCGTCACGCAGGGTGCAGTCGCACCTCCACAGATCTCCAGTATCAGCTCTTGATACTGGTAATGACTCAAAGGGGCCACCACTTACGGGCTATTCATGCCCGTGCCACCTTTTGGGTGGCTTAATCTTCATCAATCAATCACACAGGTCGCATTTAATAAAGGAAACCCGAGTGGTTTCTTTACCACTGTTACGGTAATCTCCTGTTTAGCAGTGGATCCTGCCTGGTCCTTTACCGCCTATTTGTCAGCACGCGACAACATAAAGATTCAACATAAGCGACAACAACAATAGTGCCCAAAACGTATTGTCTAGACACAACGTCATCCTCTTCCATCCTCCAGTACCCGAGACACCTGCTGTCTCGGCGGTGGCCCAGATGCCACCATTTGTTGTTATAGATTCAGCTACTCGGAACAAGTTCCAAGTAGCACGGGCTAGGGTGAGCCAGTAACTTACCTGGCACAGGAGAGGGGCAAGTAGCACGGGCTATGGTGAGCCCGTAGTGGACTTACCTGGCACAGGAGCTGTGCTGTACTCACCTAGCTGTACTCACCTAGTTGTGTTTGCGGGGGTTGAGCTCTGGCTCTTTGGTCCCGCCTCTCAACCGTGAATCAACGTACAGGTGTACAGATTCCTGAGCCTATCGGGCTCTATCATATCTACACTTGAAACTGTGTATGGAGTCAGCCTCCACCACATCACCTCCTAATGCATTCCATTTGTCAACCACTCTGACACTAAAAAAGTTCTTTCTAATATCTCTGTGGCTCATTTGGGCACTCAGTTTCCACCTGTGTCCCCTTGTGCGTGTTCCCCTTGTGTTAAATAGACTGTCTTTATCTACCCTATCAATTCCCTTCAGAATCTTGAATGTGGTGATCATGTCCCCCCTAACTCTTCTGTCTTCCAGCGAAGTGAGGTTTAATTCCCGTAGTCTCTCCTCGTAGCTCATACCTCTCATCTCGGGTACTAGTCTGGTGGCAAACCTTTGAACCTTTTCCAGTTTAGTCTTATCCTTGACTAGATATGGACTCCATGCTGGGGCTGCATACTGCATAGCTGTGTGTGTGTGTGGATGCCACCAGCTAACGACACCTCTCGATCGTTTAACTGCCAGCTGCTTGTTAAAACTTCAGAATTCGCGCCAACTATGACGTCATGCCCATATATATATAAGGGCTTGCCAGCGTCCAGGGCAACACGGGAGACATCTCCCGTCGCGCAGGGTGCAGTCGCACCTCCACAGATCTCCAGTATCAGCTCCTGATACTGGTAATGGCTCAAAAGGGCCACCACTTACGGGCTATTCATGCCCGTGCCACCTCTTGGGTGGCTTAATCTTTATCAATTAATCAATCAATCAATCCAGGGCAAGACGGGAGACATCTCCCGTCACGCAGGGTGCAGTCGCACCTCCACAGATCTCCAGTATCATCTATTAATACTGATAATGGCACTAGAGATGCTATACCGATGATGACACGTTTCAAAACGCTTGTGCTCTCTAGAGTGGAGTACTGCTGCACAATGACAGCCCCTTTCAAAGCTGGAGAAATTGCCGACCTGGAGAGCGTGCAGAGATCATATACTGCTAGAATTCACTCAGTAAAACACCTAAACTATTGGGACCGACTAAAGAGCCTAAATCTGTACTCCCTTGAGCGCAGGCGGGAGAGATATATAATAATTTACACGTGGAAAATGTTAGAGGGGCTGGTCCCAGACCTGCACGCAGAAATAACATCACACGAGACCAGAAGACATGGCAGGATGTGCAGAATACCCCCGTTGAAAAGCGGAGGTGCAACAGGTACTCTGAGAGAGAACTCTATCAACATCAGAGGCCCGAGACTGTTCAACACGCTTCCGCTACACATAAGGGGCATAACTGGCCGACCCCTCACAGTGTTCAAGAGAGAACTGGATAAGCACCTCCAAAGGATACTTATTCAACCAGGCTGTGACTCATACGTCAGGCTGCGAGCAGCCGCGTCCAACAGCCTGGTTGATCAGTCCAGCAACCAGGAGGCCTGGTCGACGACCGGGCCGCGGGGACGCTAAGCCCCGGAAGCACCTCAAGGTAACCTCAAGGTAGGTATGGCTCAAAAGGGCCACCACTTACGGGCTATTCATGCCCGTGTCACCTTTTGGGTGGCTTAATCCTCATCAATCAATCAATCCTGGGCAACACGGGAGACATCTCCCGTCACACAGGGTGCAGTCGCACCTCCACAGACCTCCAGTACCAGCTATTGGTACTGGTAATGGCTCCAAAGGGCCTCCACTTACGGGCTATTCATGCCCGTGCCACCTTTTGGGTGGCTTAATCTTTATTACTCAATCCAGGGCAACAAATTACCCTTCGAGTGCTCATAGCTGTAACATCTACTCTCGCCTCTAGGGACGGTAGACGCACACAGCTATTTTGTATAAAGTATTGCCTTCACCTTTGTTATTTAACGTAAATTTCACATGTATATATTTCTGTTTTGAGTTTGTGTAAGCAAAGTGGATAAGGGGTTTTGCTTTCATTAATTATTACTCGTCATTTTGTGTAAAGTGAATAATTTTTATTATATTAAATGTTTGAAGTTTTAATTATCTTTGGTTTTTACCCGCAGCTCTCACACCGTAGAGGACCCAAGCAGTCTTATTTACTTAGTTTTTTCTCCTTTTATTAATGTGTGATGGCCACAACCTGCTCGAATAGCCACTGCTCTATTCCAGATTGTCGTCACACCACTTACTTACCGACTGCTGTAACCTAGACTATACTAAACTAAAAAAACTAAACTAAACTGTTTCTAATCAACCAAACACGTATACATAATCTTACATTACACCTTTATTCACCTAGCAATGAATATAGGTACCCGGGAGTTGGGAAACTGTTATTGGGTTTCATTCTGGGATGGTTCAGTAGTTCCACCTTGAGGGGTACTTCGATACAAGTCTGAACTATACATACACACACACACAAGCTTTCTGTCCCCGACATAACGAATTAAGATTCAGATTCAGATTCAGATTCAGATGTTTATTCAGGTAAGGTATATACATACAAGTGATGTTACATTAATGGATTGATATATAGATAGAGCTAGTACATACAATGCCTAAAGCCACTATTACGCAATGCGTTTCGGGCAAGAAAAACATTAATATCTAGAACTTAATACTAATTGAGCATAAAGAATAAAAAGTGTTGAGAACAAATACAAATAAAGATAAAAAAAGGGGGAACATGACTGAAAAAGCAGCACAAATACAATAGGTTGACAAACAGTGTTGATTAAAAAAAAAAAAGAAAATAACAGACATGGGTTGACAATAGAGGAGTGAGGTAGATTACAGGGAATTTATTAGGTAGTGTTTAGTTTTTATCTTAAACAGGTTGAGAGAGGTACAGTCTTTAACATGGTTGGGAAGGTCATTCCACATTCTGGGCCCCTTGATTTGCAGAGCATTTCTAGTTTGATTAAGACGTACTCTAGGAATATCAAAACTGTATTTATTTCTGGTGTGGTGCTCATGGGTTCTGTTACAACCTTCAATGAAGCTTTTAAGATCAGGATTGGCATTATAGTTTAGCGTTTTATATATGTATAATACACATGAGAGAATGTGCAGTGACTTAATATCTAACATATTCAGAGATTTGAGTAGGGGTACCGAGTGATGTCTGGGGCCAGAGTTGGATATTGTTCTAATAGCAGCTTTGTGTTGGGTAATTAGAGGACGTAAGTGATTTTGGGTAGTAGAACCCCAAGCACAAATACCATAGTTGAGATAAGGATAGATAAGGGAGTAATAGAGAGTCACCAGGGCAGGGCGTGGTACATAATATCTGATCTTAGAAAGAATGCCCACAGTTTTTGAAACTTTTTTTGATATATTTAGAATGTATCCCTGGAAATTCAGCTTGTGGTCAATGAGAATGCCAAGGAATTTGCTATCTAATTTGTTACAAATTTGGGTATTGTTTATTTTGAGATTTATATGACTAGAGGATTTATTGCCAAACAGAATATAGAAAGTTTTGTCAATGTTAAGGGTGAGTTTGTTGGCAGTTAGCCAAAGATGGACTTTATTTAGCTCAGTATTTACTGTGGCATTTAGAGCAAGAGGGTCAGGACTGGAGTAAATGAAGGTTGTGTCGTCAGCAAATAGAATTGGTTTGAGGTGTTGGGAGGCATTTGGAAGGTCATTAATGTAGATGAGAAAGAGGAGAGGGCCAAGTATGCTGCCCTGAGGAACACCAATGTTGATGGGTAGGGTGGGAGAAAGTGTATTATTCACAGAAACATATTGGAACCTGTCAGTAAGGTAGGACTCGAGGTATAGTAGGGAGTGTCCTCTGACTCCATAATGATGTAATTTAAGAAGAAGGTTATGGTGGTTGACAGTATCAAAAGCTTTACGCAGGTCCACAAATAACCCAACAGGGAACTCCTTTTTATCAAGAGCTGTATGAATCGAGTTAAGCATACTAATAAGTGCATCGTTAGTGCTTTTTTTGGGTCTGAAGCCATATTGGCAAGGGCTAAGTATATTGAGTTTGGCTAGATATGAGTAAAGCTGCTTATATATAAGTTTTTCAAAAATTTTTGACAAGTTTGGCAGGATTGATATAGGTCTGTAGTTGTTAACATCTGCGGGGTCACCACATTTGTGGACAGGCGTTACTCTCGCTTTTTTTAGAATATCTGGAAAGGTTTGGAGTTCAAGTGACTTGTTGAAGAGCAAAGCAATAGCAGGGGCTAAAGATCTGGAGGCTTTTTTGTAAATTAAAGTTGGTATCTCCTCAAGGGCACCAGACTTGGTTTTAAGGGAAAGGATTATCTCATTGACGTCAGTGGAGTTAATAGGCTTTAGGTACAGAGACTGTGGATAGTTACCTGTAAGATAGTCCTTAATGTCAGTACTGGAAGATGGAATATCATTTGCAAGGGATGAACCAATGGAAGAGAAGAACCTATTGAACTCAATAGCAGAATCAGAGGCTGAAAGCTGACCATCGTTATTAGACAGGAGAGTCGGTTTGTTATTTAAAGATTTCTTTGATCCCAATATTTGTGAAATTGTGCTCCAAGTTTGTTTAATGTTGCTCTTTATTTGAGTAAATTTATCTTCGTAGTATTTAGTTTTGGCTCGTCTAATTATCTTAGATAGCAATAATGAGTAATTCTTTGAGAATTCTTTTGAGACAATTCCTAACCTATACTTCTTCTCAAGGTCGTGTTTTTTGTTAATGGATTTCAGTATTCCCTTTGTAAGCCAAGGATTGTTAAGCCTTTTGCTTGTGACTTGTTTTGTAAGCCTAGGACAGTGGGTGTTATAAAGGCTAAGAGTTGTTTGTAGAAAAGATTGCACTGCTAGGTTGATGTCCCCTATGTTACCTAACTCGGACTCCCAGTTGACATTATCAGCAGCAGTTATAAAATTGTTTATAGCAGTTTCATTGTGCAGCCTAAAGCTTAACTCCCTTGTTTCTAGAGGTGGTGTGCTAATGTTAGTTAAGAGAAATGTGGGGTAGTGGTCTGTAGTGCTATCGGTGATTATACCTGAAGTAAGCGGAGAGGTTATGTTGGTCCAGATGTGATCTAGAGTCGTGGCAGTGCTATCAGTGATTCTAGTAGGTCTAGTGATTAAGGGTATGAGGAAGCAGGAATTCATACAGTTGAGGAAGCTAACAGCAGTAGCTATAAAGTTATAACAGCAATAACTATAAAGTTATTCTATAGTCGGCTGGATTTTGTATACATTCTATATTTAGTTACTAATACTTCATTTAATTTTAATATTTTTTTATTGCAGCTAGTATTTAAATATAAAAATACAATTTTTAGTCTACAGAACACATAACAATCACTGTTCGAAGACCTCATCCAGCTATTTGGAGGTGGGGCGCGTGCCCAAGATACCGCAACAATTTAATCTCTGGATCGCGACACTGAGGTGCTGGAACAGTTAACTGGCCGCTCTTGTCTCTAGTTTATCTAATGAGTTCCTCACCCATTTCCTTTAGGAACTTAAATGCACATTTACCCCATGCGCCCGCAGGGTCTCAGAGCCTATTGGCACGAACCTGTAACAACGTTCTAGATCTCTGTACGTGTTAGTTTTCTGGGCCTCCCTGAAGGTGGCCGTCCCTGTATCTCCCTCCAACAACTCACAATGTAGGACTGAGAACAGGGGAAGCATTTTCACCCACAGGGTGGTTAACCCATGGAACTGCCTACCCACCGAAGCCGTAAATGCCAAAAGTTTGTTAACCTTTAAAGTACAGTTGGAAAAGATCAAGGCAAATGTCAAGGTATTCACCTTCAACAAGGCGGCGGCTTCCTGTCCTCGTCCAGGTCACTAGTGTTAGTGGCTCTCGGGTAAACTCGGGATCCTCTACAATAACGCTCGAAATTTTGCTCGAAACACTGTGCATATAATTGACTTTAAACATAGTATGTATTAGCTCCATCTAGAAATCACAAATTCTGTTTGTAACTCATCTTGTATGTATGTCTTTTACCTGAATAAACATTTATTTATTTATTTTTATTTATTAACATGATAAGGGAAAGTGAGTCAATATACACACTCTCGTGTTTTAGGTGACAAAACATTGTAAAGCTAATAATTATTCAAAACTCTCTATACACTTAAAAAATAATAACTCGATTATGATATCTATCACAAAACAAGTATTTTTGCCATCTAATGTATATTAAAACTAAAATAATAAGTTATAATGGCGATTTTAAATTATGTTTTGCGGATACTGTAGGAGAGTGTGTTGGAGGGCGGTGAGAGGAGGGCAACAATGGGGCTGGCGCTGGAGGTAAACAAGGCTCAGGCTCGGGACTACTATGTGAGTTGAAGGACACAGCCTTTACAGCGGGTGATAAACCTGGTTTGTTTTTTTCCCCGCACCATGTTCTTGTCAGTCTATTTTTTCCCCCAGCTTGAGCAAATCCCTGTATCCTCTTGCCCAGGCGTGGCAAGGTGGTTGGGACGGGAGAACAGTCGGAGAGGGAGTGGAAAGTAACATTCGACCTAATTTCGTGATTTATGTTGCTGGTTAGTGTGAAATAGGAAATCTTAAATGCGTTTGTGTATGTCTGTTGTCAGCTCGTCCTCGGGCAATGTTTATTCCATGCAGCGGTCGACCCCCCAAAACGCATTCATCAAATTTAACTAACTGTTTACGAATGTCCCGGTAGTACATTCGGGTTCGTTCTCTACGCACAATCGAGGATTCCGGGTTCGAATCCTGGGCCGGACAAAAATGGTTAGGCAAATTTCCTTTAACCTAATGCCTCTCTTAACCTAACTGTGAATTGGTACTCAGGAGTTAGTCAGCTTGTTGTGGGGTTGCATCCTGGGCAGGGGCAAGAAATTTGGCCTTGGGGGTGGGATCCTAATAAAAACCAAATGTGTATGAATACACTCTGGCTTCCTGTCCCCTGACACAGTGAATTATTAATTAATATGAAGGGCGTCGTCCAGAAACGGACTCTTCATCACACCCAAAATATCATTTATATTCTGTTCATTCAAAATAGGAATTTTCTCAAATATAGATTAATGTTATACATTAGCATATTGTGCAAAATTAGGCATAGATTAGATTAGCCATTTAGGTTATGTTGGCAAATATTTGTATTTATAGGATGTGAGTGAAGCAATTAGTGTGTTGCAGTTCAAACACAGGTCATCAGGAAAACATTGTTCAAGAAATGTTAGAACCTCATCAGTTGTGAGTCATGTGTAAAGCAGTTTTCATTCATAAACCCGAAACGCATTGCGTAATAGTGGCTTTAGGCATTGTATGTACTAGCTCTATCTATATATCAATCCATTAATGTAACATCACTTGTATGTATGTACCTTACCTGAATAAACATATTTATTTATTTATTTTATATAAACAGGGAGTTTGGCAGCTGCACGGAATGATCATTTAACCTTTGTTTATGAGAACAGTCTACTGCTGTTATGTGTAGTGTGCTGGGTGTCTCCATGGCCAGATCCCAAGACCAAGCCTATAAGTTCAGTTTATTCATGAGGTGTATGACATGAACATGATTCATATATTCTAATCTCATTAATATGATTTTATATTAATTTTAATGGTGTATCCAGTCTGATAACTTTATAGCTTTAAAATATTCAATATTTTATCAGTGCCAAGGTAGCATATCAAGTTAAATGTTTCTCGATATAAAATTGCAAAAAAAATGTTTCAGTTAGGCTAAATGTGAGTAAAATTTGGCAGTTTTTAGAATAATGTAATTTGTGAATTGTCACAGTGGCAGTTTCATTCTTTAATTTTCCTTTCTCAGAATTAATTCCAAAGCCACAGTAGGACTTGAAAGTTGAGAACAACCAAGTTATAACTGACAATGAAAAGGCAGCGGTTCACACTGGAAAAAGACAATTTCATGTGAGACAATCGGGAAGACCATTGCCAAATTAAAAGAATCAAAAGCTCTAGATGTGCTAATATCAAGTCAACTCTCATATCGGTAATCAATCAAATCAATAAAATTTGTGTTCATAAATGGTAGTACATATAATTGAGAAAGTTTACACTTTTACTTTTAGCAGTTTTCTCTCACACATATCTGCATACATCAAATTTAATACACAGTAATATACTTCATTTGCTTCTCTCAAATACTAGCTTTACATCCTTTTTGAATATTCTTACCTTGACATACCACATGACCTCATCCATATATTGTGTATATATATTGAACAACCATGGTTAAACTACAATTTGGTTACTCATTGCAAGTCGTGCACATCCTTTATTTCCCAAACAAGACCTTTCTACCTTAATCTGAATTCTACCATTTTTTATAGACCCGACGATAATGATCCAGGACGGACCAAAACGTTCTTCATTTCTTCATTTTCTTGTGTGTACAGTAGTTTGGTCATCATAGTCTGTTAAGTTTGTCTTATTATTTCTTCAAGCCCATAAATGATATGTTGGGTGTAATGAAGAGCTCGTTTCTGGATGACACCCTTCATATTAATTGTAAGCTTGATTTTCTAAAAGATATGAACATATATTGCTCCAGCTCATGCGCTATGGAAAAAATGAAAATATAAAAACGGAAACCACGTACAAAACTCAGTCAAATCATGACATAGAACGAAAAGGCAATGTAAAGGATCTGGGTGTACTCATGTCGGAAGACCTTACCTTTAAAGAACACAATAAAGTAGCCGTCACAACTGCAAGAAAAATGACAGGTTGGATAACAAGGACTTTTCACACTAGAGATGCTATACCGATGATGACACTTTTCAAAACACTTATGCTCTCTAGAGTGGAGTACTGCTGCACAATGACAGCCCCTTTCAAAGCTGGAAAAATTGCCGACCTGGAGAGCGTGCAGAGATCCTTTACTGCTAGAATTCACTCGGTAAAACACCTAAACTATTGGGACCGACTAAAGAGCCTAAATCTGTACTCCCTTGAGCGCAGGCGGGAGAGATATATAATAATTTACACGTGGAAAATGTTAGAGGGGCTGGTCCCAAACCTGCACACAGAAATAACATCACATGAGACCAGAAGACATGGCAGGATGTGCAGAATACCCCCGTTGAAAAGCGGAGGTGCAACAGGTACTCTGAGAGAGAACTCTATCAACATCAGAGGCCCGAGACTGTTCAACACGCTTCCGCTACACATAAGGGGCATAACTGGCCGACCCCTCACAGTGTTCAAGAGAGAACTGGATAAGCACCTCCAAAGGATACCTGATCAACCAGGCTGTGACTCATACGTCAGGCTGCGAGCAGCCGCGTCCAACAGCCTGGTTGATCAGTGCAGCAACCAGGAGACCTGGTCGACGACCGGGCCGCGGGGACGCTAAGCCCCGGAAGCACCTCAAGGTAACCTCAAGGTAAGGTAAGGTATCTTGAGGTTATCTTGAGATGATTTCGGAGCTTAGCGTCCCCGCGGCCCGGTCCTCGACCAGGCCTTCTTTTTGTTACACATTCCCAGGAAACAGCCTGTAGCAGCTGTCTAACTCCCAGGTACCTATTAACTGCTAGGTAACAGGGGCATCAGGGTGAAAGAAACATTTTGCCCATTTGTTTCCGCCTCCACTGGGCATCGAACCCGGAACCTCAGGACTATGAATCCGAACGCTGTCCACCCAGCTGTTAGGCGCTCTTCTATGAATAATATCTTTCCAAGATTACTCTTAATATTTTCTAGTGACTTTATTTTCTTTATGTAGACTATAATACATCATTGTATATATTTGTGTAATAGATTAATAGGCTTTTACTTTTTCACAATTGATTTGCAGGAACTTTTGTACACTTGGCAGATGGGTAAGTAGAGTTAGCCATCAGCCAGCTCGACAGAAGTTTCAGCGAACCATGGCGAGTGCAGGAGAGGGAACTTCTAATGTCAGCAGTGTTAAAGAAAACCAGTTGGCCTCAGAAAAGTCTCCATATCTTTTGCAACATGCAAATAATCCTGTACACTGGTAAGAAATTATTACTTTATATATTTTGCTTATTTCCTAGTACTGTATAATTCACTTACTAGCAGATACCTTACATTGCTTTATACAGTGGTACCTCCATTTTCGAATTTAATCCGCTCTCAAAGATGGTTTGAAAACTGAAACTAATTTTCCCATAAGAAATAATATAAATTGAATTCATCCGTTCAACATCCCCCAAAATATTAACTTAAAAATACATTTTATACATACTATTAATATTTTGTACTACAGTATGTACAAGTATATCTTACTCTTGAGAACTCTTACTATTGAGGACTCTTGTTGGCATATGGAAGATGGTGAGGAAGTGGGGAGGAGCAGAGGTGTTAATGTTTGAAAGGGAGAGTCTCCTGCCATTATAACAGCTGTGGTAACATTTCTTATGTTTGCAGGCATACCACTAGGGGATTACAAAAGCACAAAAAGCAATGAAATTCTTCACAAAGAATTTTAGCGCGGTCGTCATTAGGCAGGGAGACACTAGTAAACTGAAGTGCGCCACACGCTCAGTTGGCCCATACGTGTATCAACAAACTCTAGCACCAAGTCAAATTTTGTAAGAAATTGAGCTCAAGAACAGAAAAATTTGAAAACAGGGCATTCAAAAACAGAGGTTCCACTGTACAGGCTATATTTAATTCAGTATCTGAAATAATTTTTTTTTTTTTTTTTAGGTATCCCTGGGGGGATGAAGCATTTGCCGCAGCTCGACAAGAGAATAAACTAATTTTTTTGAGCGTAGGATATTCCACGTGCCATTGGTGTCACGTTATGGAGAGAGAAAGTTTTGAGAATCCTGAGATAGCAAAAATAATGAATGCCAATTTCATCAATATTAAAGTGGACAGAGAAGAGAGACCAGATGTGGATAGAGTCTACATGACGTTTGTTACGGTATGAAATTACTTTTCATTATGCAGATTGCATTTTATGATGTTGAAGTTTGCTTTCATGGTATTATTGTTTTGTGTTGGCAATATTCTTTTGATAGGTTTATATTTGGGACCAGGTTATGTTTCTTTAAGGTCTTTGTAAGTATAAATATTTGCCTCAGTATAAGAGAATAGAAAGTGGAAGTATGATAAGAGCAAAAGATATGCAGACATATTTATTAAACATATGAAAAATAAGAGTGATTGTGGAACTTGGAAGAGACTTGAATACAAATTTCAGAGAACAGGAAGCTATTTGTAAAAAAAATTAGACAAAGTTACAAGAAAAAGGAGACTGATGGAGGTCAATGGAAACATTACATAGAAGAATGTTAATGTGAAGAAATTAAAAATAACTGAAGAGAGAATAGTCCTTGGAAAATCTGATAGGTAAAATTGATAGAAGAAAAAAGAAAATTTGTTTTCTGGAATGGGAAGAGTGAATGATAGAAAGTCAGATGTTTCCATGGAAGATGTACTCTTACAGTATGGTATTCCATACTGTAATTGCATCTGTGCAGAAATTGAATGATGGGAAAGTTGCAGCTACTAATACAACCTGTCCTCTCGAATAGTACATGACATTTTGACATAAAACCACAATGTCAATATAAATGGTGTACTATAAATTATAGCGGCTCACAAACAACCACATTTTCTATTCGTGGGTCACTTCGCTAGGCTAAGACTAGCATGTCTGCACAATCTGTCCTTTTGAATAGTACTGTACATTCCATTTTGACTTATAATGCCACAATGACCAAAATGTGATGTACTATAAATCATAGCAGCTTGCAAAATTGATGGGCTGCCCTGTTTTCTATTCATGGGTCCTTGGTTATGTTAGGTCTTAAAAATCTAGAATGGATTGACTATCATAACAATTCAACAAATAACCCAACCCACACACATGAAATGAAAGGAAAGTGACGAAGTTTTGGCCCATGTTTTTGGCCCAAATTGAGTACTGTAATACAGTAAAATTTTTTTATAGGTATTAGATAATAAAATATTAAAATGTCACTTGTCTATTAATTACATACAGTGCTGTAATTCAAAATACATGTAGTATCAAATATAAATAAACCTTATCACTCCCCAGCAGTCATCCATATATCAGCACTCCATCATTTCATAAGATGAGGTGTACAGTGATTCTTGTGACTTACCATATACTGTGCATGTATTAAATACCAATACTTTTTAGTCTCTTCATACAAACCACTTCGATCCAATTTGTTATCATATCTCGTGTGTTGTCCACACTTGTTTCCCACTTCCTTCCCCATTTCACTCACCTTCTTCCTAACCTTCCTCTTATCCTGTCCTCAAATTCACTTGAATTCACTTCAACATTCTGCCATCATCAATTCATTCAGCATATCCCAATATGCTTTCCTCAATCTTGCAGGTTATTGGCTTTTGCATGCCATATCTCTATGATAGTTTCATTCTTTATTCTATTTTCTTAACACCACAGATGCTGCGCAGATTGTCTCTTTCTATTTCAGTGACTTGTTTTTTCTGTGGTGAAGCCCAGTGGCTCCCTGGAGCTATTGGACTGATATTAGCTAATATTAGTTCTGGGCTTCAGTCTTATGGAGTTGTCAGGCCTACCGGGGAACACTAGCTAGAACATGGTCCTCTCAGAAAGGCAAAGGGAGTAATGGCCCATGAAACTCGCATGTATAAAAGTATTCATGTCTGCCATCGACCGGGATTGAGGACCCAGAAAGGTAGGCGCTTCAAAACAGACTCCTACCTGGTAGAAATATTGCAACCGAACAGAGGCAAAAAACTCCCCCAAAGAAAAAGAAACTAGCAAGCAACATATCACACCGTGCGCCACTCGTTCGTACCAACCTCCCCTCCACTCTCCCAGAGTAGGGAGGGGAGAGACATATTGCCTGCTGTGTTTGGCAATATGTCTTGGGCAGATATTTGGGTGCGAGGATTTTGGAGATTGAACAGGGTCCTGGCTACCTGATATCTTGTCAATGTGCCGGGCCCTCAGCAGTCTTGTGTCGCCCTGGGTCGGCAGTTGCAGCCAGTTGTCTCATCTTTGGTATGAGTTGTACGGTGCTGCTGCCTCCCGGGTAAATCCCTTTATTATTTCTCTTTGGGTAGTTAGCTTCAGGGAGCTGATGATGCTCTCCCCACAGAAAACCAGCGTTGAATGTAATGAAATGTCATTTTCTGGGTAGAACCCCGGAGGCTTCCTGGCATCCTCCCTTCCCCCAGTCAGCAGGTTTTGTTTCTGTTTTTCGTCCTCCAAACTGACGGTCTGGCTGCCGGCTTGGTGGGCTTGGACCCGCCACCTCCTAGGAGGGGGAGGGGAGTGTCGTCACGCGGTGTGATGACATGTTGCTTATTATTTTGTTTTTCTTTGGAGGATTTTTTTGCCTCTGTTTGGCCTCAGGTTGCAATATTTTTACCAGGTAGGATCCATTTTGAAGCTATTACCTTTCTGGGTGCTCAACCCCAGTTGATGGCAGGCATTAATACTTTCATACATATGAGTTTCATAGATCATTGCTCTCTTCGCCTGTCTGAGGGGACCATGTTCTGGCTAGTGGTCCCTGGTAGGTATGACAACTCCATATGACTAAAGCCCGGTACTAATATTAGCTAATATCAATTCAATAGCTCCAGGGAGCCTCCTGGGCTCTACCCAGAAAGTGGCATTTCATTACATTCAAAGCTGGTTTTTCATGTATATTCCCCAGTTTTTCATGTACAGTATATTCCCCTCTATTGGGCTTGCAACCATTCATAAGAGTTGGTACTCCTCCATACAAATCTCAGGCTTCATTTATTCCTATCTTTCTTTTCTTAACTGGGCTTGCATTGTACCTACACTTTCCTTTCCAAGCTGACCCAACTCTCAACTTTGATTGCACAAATACCTCTTCTAGCACTCAAACATCTCGATATTTAAATTGTTTCGACCACTTTCAGTGCTTCGCCATTCACATTTATTTCACACACACAGACACAGTTTCTTCTCTCCACCTTAATACCTCTACTTTTCCCACTCTCATCTTCAATAGTCTTTTTCTACACACCTATTTACAATTAGTATCTAAACTACTGTCTCCTCCCACCCTGGGAAAGTGTGAAATGAGGTAAGAATAGTGTGTGTTTGAAATACCAGAAGTAAAGTGGAAAAGTGTGACTTTATGTATGATCTTTTAATAATGTTTTTATGTACAGGTACAACTTTCATTGCTTCCTTTTATCTCTCTACTGTTATGATCTGTATTTATAATCCTGATTTCCCTTACTTGAGAGACCTAAGTTTATTTATTAGTTATTCATTTTGTGTTGTACATTTAGAACTGATAAACTCAGGTTTTAGTTATGCCTTTTTGTAAGAGATATTGTTGTATAAAAGGCATGAAGCACTGAATAACTCTCTGGTTCCAGCACTTAGCCCTAGGTCTATGTTACTGTGGATCATATCTGAGAGGCGTGAATGATCTCATATAGAACTCTGGATGTCTGTGCTTTATATTGTTGTCTTTTTCAGCAAATATAGTTGTTGGCTTAGCTCACCAGTACAGTGTAAATACCTATATCACTCCTCAGGTGCTTTAACACTTTGCCTGGCCGATAACTCGTAATGCGTTCGTATATGAATATACTCAGTCTGGGCGAGGTCGTACGCTGCGTCCCAAACTAAAATATTCGTTAAAAATCCATTTTTTTCCGATCATTATGGGACTTGTTCCAACGTCTTCCCATTTTCTGTGATGGCCCATGCTGCATCACGGCACTGCCACCCACGTGGTAGGCCTATTGTTATTGTATTTGTGCTCGTGACTGCTACGGCCTTCCCTTGTGCAAAAACGTGTGCCCGTTCTGGTTATTTATCCTTGGCTATATTTGTTAGTGCCTTTATAAACACACTACATTTATTCCAAGATGGATAGTGATTAAGAACAGAGCCAGTCCATCACGAAAGCAGGGAAAGAAACACATCTGAGGGAAAAGATAAGTAATGTTCCCCAAAAGTACAGAAAAGTGAAACTCACACTACAGTATACTCAGAGTATACACATTTTAGTGCGGTTGCGTGCTCACGGGTAACGCTCAGCTGATTTTCAGGTTTGCTGTGGGAGGCACGCCGGGCTTTTTGACCTTATATGCATACTGTATATCCCTTTAGAGAATTCTATTGCCAACAATTTGATACCAAAATCAACGACGTAACATAAAAATTGATGTGATCAAACTGAAAAGAGTATACATAGTTTAGTGCATGTGCGCACTCACAGGAAATGCCAGGCCGACTTTGGGGTGGGTTGGGGCTCGCGTGCTGGGCCAGGTAAAGTGTTAATAAACAATGCAATGAATATTTTTATGATTATCAGGCTTGATTCTAACTTGTCAATGGGTGGTCAGTCAGTCACCCAATGGTCAGTGGATGGGTGCAACCCTGTATTAAAGAAACAAAGGCATAAAGAGAAAACAGTGTTTTTAGGCAAATTATTTATTAATATCAATCTTTTAAATAAATTTTATCTTGGTTTCTTATTTATATTGAAAACTAAACAATATAAAAAATGCACAAATGGATAATTTAGAATAAAATTGTTGTTTTAAGTAGATATCCCTTTATTATTACTATTTTCAGTCTGTAATGAATTATGTGGCAGTTTTACATAATAAAACTTCCCTTACTGACTTGCTCAGGCTTCCAGTGGGCAGGGTGGCTGGCCTATGAGTGTATTCCTTACACCTGACTTAGTCCCAGTTGCTGGTGGCACTTATTATCCTCCGGAGGATCGATATGGTCGTATTGGTTTTGGAACATTGCTGAGTAGTTTAGCAGCAAAGGTATGGATTTGATCACAATGGAGACAATTAAGCCCATGAAAAAAAAATGGAGAAATGTGGAATCTCTTGGTATTCTTGTAATACAATGTATAATGACATTATTGGTACAGTATATTGAAGTCTAATGGACAATCTTTAGTTAAGTTTGTTTATAGATTTTCTTTTTATGATGTGCCAGGAGAGTTCTTAACATTTCCCCCCCTCACATTACACAGGATTTGGAGTTAGCATCTGTCATTCTTTATCGGTGGGGAGGATACAAATTAAAGATTGAATCTATTTTATTATACTGTATATTACTGTCCCACTGTATTTTGAAGAAAGACAGATGTGTTCTCTTGCGTCAGAATTTGTTATTAAGAAAGGCATTTATCATGCACTAATAAGTGATTAGTAGTTTTGAACTGGATATTATATTGTAAAACATGCAGTATAATTTTCAGTACAAAATTGCCAGAAGTTTGTGTTGCTTTACAGGATGGTGTTGGGAAGATAGTGGCAGGAGGATATCAGGAAAATACCATAAACAATTTGATCAATTTATTAGTTCCTTGAATAGCAAGGTCATTGTGCACTATCCATATTTTAGTCTCTCAGCGGTAGTGGTGGATGGCCTATGAGTGTGTGGCTGACCCCAGACCTCAAGCCTGTGTATGGCGGCACATATTTCCCACCCACTGACCGCTACTATGGACAGCCAGGATTTCCCCAACTTCTCGTGTCTATTGTTTCTCAGGTTTGTGCTGGAGCGTCAAGAGGTTATCTTATATGAAGTTTGGATTTATATATTGCTTTGTGAATTATACTAGTGATTTCTTGATTATTTTAGCAGCCGTTTCAGGTAAGTGTCAGCTGTGTCATTAGATCAGGATCACGTACAGTCGGGCAGGATAAGAGTCGTTCATTGGCACCACAGAGTTCTTTTCAAACATTTCTCTGTGGTCATTAGAGGTGCTAGGGAAGCATTGGTAAAATGGTTTATACACTATAGAATCATGACAGGTACTTTTATTATGTTGTAAAATCCTATGTTTGTTGGTCTGTTATGTTGATCTGCCAAGTTCTTGAAGGCTATCCCTGTGTTTGCTTGTTTTGCATGTGTATCTGAATTTATTATGTTAATGTGGTCCTTCAGTGTCAAGCTTGATGTAACATTCTCTCCCAGATCTTTTTGCATTTTTGAGTCCCACAACTGCTTCCCTTGCAAACTGTAGTTTATCTGGTATTCTCTCTCCTCTCCCAAGCCTTATTACTTTATAATTGTGTGGATTAAGCTTGAGTATCTATCTCAAATCTAGCTCTTGATAACCTTTTCCTTAGTTTGCTTCCTACCTCAACGAGCATGCGAGATAATGCTGGTTTGGGGTACCCGAGATATACACAGTACTGTTATCTGGTGTTGGGTTGAGCAGACATGCAAACGAGCAGTTAGAGCGCTCTCTTTTGGTGGCCACTTGTGATTTAAAAGTTTGGGTTCGGTAGATCATTGAGTCTTTCTGACATACCTCGGTTATTTATTCTTGGCTGGTTTAAGCTTTCTCTAGGACCTCCCTAACATCTTAAACGACCCTGCAGGAATATTTGAAGAAACAATGTGGCGCCAATGTCAGAATTTCACAATATCTGACCGTACATGATTCTGGTCTATTGACAAAGCAAATAGTTATCTTATAGTTAAATGGAGCAATTCTGCTCAGAAAGTGCTTTTGTTTTACAAATATTGTATTTTTTAGCATAGGTTTGTTTTTCCTGGAATCCTCCTTGCTTTTTTTATTAAATATATTGTTTCAAACACAGTATTCTGAATTGTGTAATGGATTATTTAAATACAGATTGTCTGGTACTATATTATTTGAAGTGTTCTCCATTGTATCACATGTTTTAAAGAAGAGTTTCTCAGTACATGTTGCGTGAATGCTAATTCATGCATTGTGGTAATTTTATAATAATTGATCAAGCCTTTGCATGCAAAGAATGGATAACTTATTTAAATACAATAGTTTACAGTAGACTGTATGGTACAATAATTAATATAGTTGAAATATAAGAATTGCAATGGATTATATCTCGAATGAATTGAGTCAAGATGTACATCTGATTTTCCATATATTCACATTCATGTTATTATTATTTATTATTATTATTTATTATTATTATTATTATTATTATTATTATTATTATTATCAAAATTATTATTATTATTATTTATTTATTTCTCTGTGGGGTGCCCCTCCGGCTCCCTGGAGCTATCGGACTGATATACGCTATATTAGTCTGGGGCATCAGTCAATGGAGTTCTGCCTTCCGAGGACCACGAGCCAGAACCTGGCCCCCTCAGAGAGGCACAGAGAGCAATGGTCTATGGTAACCCCCATGTGCTTGGGAGCATTCCATGTCTGTCATCAACCAGGGGTTAGGCACCCAAAAAGGTAGGCATAACAAAACAAGCCGCACCTGGTAAGAAATTGTAACTGAAGTCCAAACAAAGAGACAGAACTCCCTCAAAAACATAAGGAAACAAGCAAACGTCATTCACCACCATTGTGCTGCTTGTCCGCGAAGCCCTTCCCTCCCCAGGAAGAGGAGAGGGGAGCCCCGGACTCCTGCGCCAGCTATTCACACCTCAGTTCAGAGGCTGAACATCAAAAACAAAACCATCGACTGGAGGGAGAGAGGGTGCCAGGGAGCTTTCGGGGTTCACCCAGAAAATGGCATTTCATTACATTCAATGCTGGTTTTCTGAGGAGCTATGTAACCAAAGGCAAGTAAAAGAGGGACTTACCCGGGAAGCGGCCACAATGTGCACATCAACTCGGAGGCGAGACAACTGGCTGTAACTTGTGACCCAAAGCCACACATGAATGACCGGGGCCAGGTACATTTGCCGAATAACAGGCGGCCAGGAAATAACCCTAGTTGATGGCAGGCATGGAAGGCTCCTAAACACATGGGGGTTTCCATAGGCCATTGCTCCCTGTGCCTTTCTTAGGGCCAGCTTCTGGCTCGTGGTCCCCAGTAGGCAGAACTCTATTGACTGATGCCCCAGACTAATATAGCATATATCAGTCCAATAACTCCAGGGAGCCTCCGGGCCTTCCCCAGAAAAATATGTTTCATTACATTCAATGCTAGTTTTTTTATTTTAGCACAAAGATTAAAACAAATATTTCTGCTGCTCCCACATGAAATATTCCACTCTCCTTGAACATGGGTAGTGCAGTCTGGCATGAGTGACATACAAAATGGCACTGTTAGGAATTTTAAGCATCCCTGCAGGGCTGTAATGTTTCCATAAAAAATTATTTTCCTTTGAAGCTTTTGCTTGTGATAACAGGTGGCTTCTAAACGAGTTTTTTCGGCTACTCCCGGCCAGGCTGTTTGGTCCAAACTGCCACTTCCCACCAGATGGTAGCATCTCCCTCACCTCATGGTGCTCTGTGGGTAAAATATTTCTCACTTTTTTTTTGTAGCTGCACCTTCCATAGGTTTTGAGGACAATTTGTGCTTCAAATATAGCCATTCTAACCACATTGATGAAGTGGAGAGAATGGGTACAGTGGTATAGCTCCTGCATGTTCTCGTGGAAGAATCATGTGTGGCTTCCTCTCTTCGACTCATCCGGGTGTGTCACATTCAGCATCCCACAGGTGGACCTGTTCTCATTGTCATGGAACAACACTCTTAACTCTGTCACCTTTCAAGGCATTCTCATATTTGCTCGTAGTACAGTATGTGGCTTTCAGCTGTCTCTTCCTGATGACTGTTCACCAGCTGCTGTGTGTGTGTGTGTGTTGGTGCCCTCATTTGTCTTTTAGGTGATTCCTTAAGATGACTATGGCCTTTGTGTCATGTACTTTGGGGGCAATCAAGTGGGATAGTTCAGAAAATTAGCCTTTGAGTGTACAGTATATATAAAATGCCTTCATGAGCAGGCTTGCTTAGTTGTCCCAGTCCCTTCCTGCTTACGATGTTCTTTCTTTCATCGGGACACATGTGGTGAGGTTTGGCGAGATGGAGCATGTTGTGGTTCAGGTGCTACTTGCTACCTGGTAGCAGGAGTGGGCAGCTGGACAAGCCAACTAGTATTTTGGGGGCTTCTTGGTGAGCTTAAGGTTGCCAAAGAGGGCTTGTAAGGATCTGATTGCATACAGATTTTGAGTTTTCTATAGCTCATGTTAACTGAATGATTTCCTCCAGTGCTCCATAGTACCAGCATGACTGCAGAGATGTATGAAAAGTTCCTTATGATGTTATCTAGAATGTTGTTCTTTATAATGGCACAATGCACTTCCCTGTATGATAGCAGACTTTCATTGAGGCAACCAAGTGAATCTGGTCAGAAATATACTTTTTGCATACTGTACACACAAAGTATGTATTCTTATACAGTATATACAATTTGCTTATAATGCTAATGGGGAAAGAATTGTTTCAGAAATGAACGAAGACTTTTGTGATCAGTTGATAGATAAACTTGTAGCACTTTTCTTTGCTCTGCAAGTATGCAAGTAGATGAGGCACTCGATGCAATGAAAGTAATTACAGTACAGTACTTGCATGCAATATGTTGCAGAAAACAAATTGATTGGGCTTTGTTGTTTTTCCAATCCATTAGATGTTCAATATTACACTGAAGTTTCCTACGGTATATTATACAGAGTGGGATCAATTATTTGATATTTTGCTATTGTTATTTACATAAACTTTAAAATTGTAATGTGAGGACAAGGGGGTTCAACTGAAGATTTGCCAAGTTAGAGAGATTAGGTTATTAAACATTGGAAACCATTGTATTAATAGAAATGTTGTAGCTGCATGTTTGTTAATTGTTAACCTATTGTAAAGAAGAGAATATTAAATGTTTCTGTTAATGTACTGTAAAAAGTTGACTTTGATTCAGATATGTTTCCACTTTCCATAGTGGCAAGAGAACAAGAAAAGATTCAAGGAGTCAGGAGTGAAGATAATGGAGGTACTGGACAGAACGTCACGACTACCAGCCCCCGGTACTACCACCATACCAGGAGAAGAGGCAGTTGCCAAGTAAGAAAAATATATATATATATATATATATATATATATATATATATATATATATATATATATGTCGTACCTAGTAGCCAGAACTATATATATATATATATATTTACTATATGAAATGATAAAGCAACCCTTTTCTCTATGTATGAGGTCAATTTTTTTTTATATGGAGTTAAAATTAACGTATATATGACCGAACCTAACCAACCCTACCTAACCTATATATATAAAAGCTAGGTTAGGTTATATATATATAATTCATATATATATATAGTAGGCTATGCATTCTGGCTATTAGGTACGACATATATATATATATATATATATATATATATATATATGTATATATATATATATGTATATATATGTATGTATATATATATATATATATATATATATATATATATATATATATATATATATATATATATATATATATATATATATATATTTATTTATTTATTTATTTATTTATATTATTTATATATATATATATTATATATATATATATTATATATATATATATATATATATATATATATATATATATATATGTATTTATGTATGTATTTAAATAATTCTATTTATTGATTTATTTATTATAATTATGTATTTATTATATATTTATTTTTTTATTTTTTTTTTTTTTTATTTATTTTTTTATTTATATACAAGATTGTTACATTCTTGTATTTATTTATTAGTATTTATTTATTTATTTATTCCCTGGAATATTTATCGTTTTTTCATTTATACACATTTTATTTTTTTATTTGGTTAGTTGCTTTGTGGTTATTGATCACTTGTAATTCAGGCAGCAAAATGCCTCTCCATAGTTCAGATAGAGTAAGTTATGCCATTAACTTGGGGAAAACTATATCATCTGTTAACATGATACAGTATACAGTTATATATATAATTTGCATGCAGTATAAAGTTCACTATTGTATCCCCATACATGGCATAAAATTTAGTGTATTCGTAGTGCTTAGAATAAAATGTCTATACTTAGTACGTATGTATATATACTGAACATATAGTGTGTAACAACTTCACACTATATGATCATTTTGGGTAGTTCTTCATTTATTATTTACCTAAGGGCCACTCTCTCTCTAGTGGCCTCGACTGGGGCAAAGGTTTGACCTCTGACAAACTACTCTCCAGTAGTTTGTCAGAGGTCCCTCTTATTGTCTGATGGATTTTTTCTAATTGGATTTTGGACTAAAGTAATGTCTTGCTATCTATGGCTTCAGTGTAGGCTGGTCACATATCAGGCCGCAGGGACCTTGCACCCTGGAATCACTGCAGGGTAAGGACCAAAAGTATCATTTTGAACGGGACAGTACCACTTTTCTCACATTTCCCAGCCGTCCTGTCATTTTAATAAAATGTCAGTTTTGTTCAGTTTTAATACGAATTGTATTAAATGATTTTAATGTAATTTCTGTGGGGAGCCCCTTTGGCTCCCTGGAGCTATCAGGCTCTAATATGTGATATATTAGACCAAGGAGCTGGTCGACCGAGCGGACAGCACACTGGACTTGTGATCCTGTGGTCCCGGGTTCGATCCCGGGCGCTGGTGAGAAACAATGGGCAGAGTTTCTTTCACCATGTGCCCCTGTTACTTAGCAGTAAAATAGGTACCTGGGTGTTAGTCAGCTGTCACTGGCTGCTTCCTGGGGGTGGAGGCCTGGTCGAGGGCCGGGCCGTGGGGACACTAAAGCCCCGAAATCATCTCAAGATAACCTCAAGATAGGGCATTAGTCATTGGAGTTCAGCCTACCGGGGACCACGAGCCAGATCCCCTCAGAGAAGCACAGGGAGCAATGGCCCCTGGAAAGATTTTAAAAGGTCTGCATTTTTTATACAGATAGAAAACCCACCTGTGTGTGTACTAAAATAATTCTATTGGGTGAGGAAATATTTGTTATAATTAAGACTGTCATTTCTTATAATTTTTTTCCAGGTGCTTTGCCCAGCTGTCCAGTTCATACGAGCGAAAGTTTGGAGGGTTTAGTGAGTCGCCTAAGTTTCCACAACCATCCAACTTCAACTTCTTGTTTACCTATCATGCGTTACACCCTAATCGGGATGATGCAAAGGTATACAGATTGTTCAATATATTTTATTTGACCATTTAGCTTCTTCACATGCCTGTTGCACACTTGAAGATACTATATGTTGAACAATTTTGTTTGCTGCAATACAATTTTGCCAAAAACTTTAGGGATTGCATGTGACATTTGCTCTCTGTGCTATTCCATTAATTCCCTTGAATGATTTTCTCCTTCATTGTATGTATATTAGTGATTCAGGCAGTAACTTTGGATCTTTGTATTTATTCTATTATTCTGTAATCCAGTTGTAAGAGAGCTGGTGTTTGAGGGGGTAAAGGAGTACGCTGAAGAAGCATAGTATTTTATCTTGTTAATGTCATTAAGCCATGTCTTTTTAAACTATCTGGATGTGATAGGTTAGGATAGCCAGTGTTTGCTCTGGTGAAGTCAAAGTCAAGTTAGAATAGGTTAAAGTAGCCTAAGTTGGGTTCGGCTAAAATTGCTTAAGTTAGGATTTCGTTTTGGGTTGTTTCAATTTAGTAAAAGAGCGACTTGTCTTGCTACTTTAGAAGTCACCTGATGGTTAAAAAACCTTATGTTGTTACTCAGGCCAAGCCCATATAGTTCTGATAAGTAGAGTTCCATTATACTGTATCATCGCCACCACAGTATTCCATACAAACTATTCATGAGTGTCATGCTGTTCATGGAAGATACATTTGTGTGAAACACATGAGTGGTATAGCCACAAATGCAGATACTATGACCATCAGGGAAAATTTGGACAGGTTTTACTCAAACATGATTGGTGGGCTTATTTTTGTAGTATCTATCTTACATCTACAACACATTATAAATGTTATTGTACGGAACTTTGGAAACCACTCAGACAACTGGTTTCTCTTTCGCATTCACTTGTATAGTATGTCAGTATTACTCTTGAGTTATACTGTATATATATTACAAGAAAGTCATAAGGTCAAGTGTAGGAGCATTAAGTATTACTGGATATTATTAACTTAGTTTGCAAAGGGGTATTGCAGGCATTTTAAGTTCTCTAAAAATACATGCTAGTTAATCTTTCTATATCTTAAATCTATCTTTCTATATCACCTGAACATAGATACATAATACAAAGTCAGTCATGACTTATGTCTCCATCACCTCTGTACAGAATATTAAGCTGTGTCAACCAATGTCATCACTGCTCTTTTTTAATCCATTTTCTTATTTCTCGGCTTTGCCCATGTCTGTAATTCACATTCAGTTAATCAACTGTGGCTTCTTTCACTCCTGTTGCTCTTAATATTAGAGACCTCCGTTTCTCTCATGATTTAATAGTTTTCATTATTCTTTCTAAGAAATATTTAGATTATTTGATATAGAGTTAATAAGATATTAGTTCTAGCAATATTTGCTTTCAAAACTATTTTCTTAAATTATGTATTATATACAATTTTTCCATGTACTGTATTTATAAAATATTGTTTTTATTTTATCAGATAGACAGTTATCATGATGGACATTCATAAGGAGAGAGAGTAGAGAATACAGTACTAAAAATCCCCGACTGTTCCCTATGAATGTTTAGGAAGATTTGCTTTTCAATGTAAACAACCCGTCGTTGTATAAACAACTCTGTTGTATTACCAGGAACATATTTTGTGATACCTAATGCTGTTGTAATCATGTTTCTTCCCAGCGAGGTTTAGAAATGGCGCTTCATACCCTGACAAAAATGGATCGAGGTGGCATTCATGATCACATATCTCGGGGTTTTGCCAGGTAATTATAAGACTCTGTTGTTCCATTCACCTGGGCTCTAGGAGACTTGAACCGTTGACCCCCCACGCGTGTGAGGCCGCTGCTCCATTGACCGAGCTATTGAGTAGTCTTAATAAGGAAAGTTTCATAGAGTCCAAGTGAATGGAATGTTGATTTCCACGGAAGTATGGATGACATTTTACTTTGTTGTAGTTTAATATTTAAAATCACGAAAATCATTTAAGGTAAATGAGGTGACTATTCCAGCGTTCTAGTGATTCTCAGACGCTCACTTTAAAATCATGTTTTGTTGGTACTATGCAAAACAAAGTACAGTATGATGAGCTTCGGACTACGTAGAAAAGATGATGACGTACAATAACTTGACCACCTTGTTGGTTAAGATTTTGATGTCTTTTCTTAGGTAGCCATCAGAGATGTTTCTGTCTACAGGCTAACTTCCAAGACGTGATGTGATTTGGGTAATTTTATATTTTTTGTTTTAGGTTATATTATGTTGTACAATGAGTATTTATCCACGTAAAATTATATTTGTTCATGATCTACATTCATTGCAAATATATGTGAAGAATTTTTTTTTATATATCTTTTCTGAGGGGAAAAATTTCCCTCAAAGCCAAAAAAAAATTGACCAAAAACAGACATGTAGATTTAGGAAAATTTACCCAAATCTTCTCATAATTATATAAAAAAACAAAAACAGCATTGAATGTAATGAAATGCCATTTTCTGGGTGACCGCCAGAGGCTCTCTGGCACTCTCCCTCCCTCCCTCCGGGCGGCGGATTTTGTTTCCATTTGTCAGTTTCCGAACTGTCGGTCTAGCAGCCAGCTCAGTGGGTGGGGCCTCCCCTTATTCTTTTTAAAAGGAGGAGTGGGGGGGCCATGAATGAGCGGCACATCAGGTTGATGATGATTTGCTTGTTACTTTGTTTTTCTTGGGGGTGGGGGGTTCTGGGGCTCTCTCCGGTCTTGGGTTGCAATTTTCTACCAGTCTGTTTTAGGGCACCTACCTTTCTGGGTGCCTAGCCCCGGTCGATGGCAGACATGAATATACACTCAAAGAGTGGAGTTTTCATAGGCCATTGCTCCCAGCGCTTTTCTGAGGGAACCAGGTTCTGGCTCGTGGTTCCCGGTAAGCATAGAACTCCTATAACTAAAGCCCCGGACTAACATAGCAAATATCAGTCTGATAGCTCCAGGGAGCCTCCGGGGCTCACCCTGAAAATGATGATTCATTACATTCAACGCAGTTTTTTTTTTTTTCATATAATTGTGAGAAGATTTGGGTAAATTTTCCTAAATCTACATGTCTGTTTTTTGTTAATTTTTGTCAATGTTCTATTGACTTGAACATTGTCAAGTCAATGTTCATAAAATTAATATATTTTCAATTTCCGTTGTGTTTGATCACGTTTTACATCCACTATCAATTCGTCTGTTGAAAAATATTTCATTTATCAGTTTTATATTCAGAATTGTAGGTCAGTTTGGATAAATTTTGATGAATTGCATTTATATTGGAGGGGCGGAATGGTGGCTTCCTCCAGCTAGCTAGCTACACTTAGGTAATTACACATTATTTCTTTTATTTTATTCTATTATTTCTATAAATTGTAATTACACAATTTCGGCGGGACCAAAGAGCCAGAGCTCAACCCCCGCAAGCACAATTAGGTGAGTACATATGAATCGTATCAGCCCCTTAAATGTTTTTTCCAGTGTCCTACATACTGATTTATACTACTAAACAAAATTGTACTGAGAGTATACTACTCTCAAATAACGTACAATAACTTGATAATGGGTATACGTTATCAGGTATACTCCGACCAGCCAGTTGAGATTGTTGAGGTTTTCAATCAAAATATTCTAAACTACAGTCCCATGTGAAGACAGTGAGTCACAATAACATGGCTGAAGATATGATGATTAACCCTCACACCAGAAGATGACGAGACGACGACTTTTCTATCTGTCCTGGACCATTATCGAGTCATTACTACAATCGACTTGATAATGGTCCAGGAGGGACTAAAACGTCATCGTCTTCTCATCTTCTGGTGTGTCGTGTAGTCATCATACAGTTCCGTGTAATTCATACAGATCTTGTATTTTTGTTGGTACAGTACAGGTAGTTTCATCTGTGTATTTTACAAGTTTGCTCATGTTATTATATTTTCGATTTTTTTTCACAATATTAATCTTAGTTGATTTCGGAAATTAGTAGTAGAGTACTGTACATAGTCAGTGTCTTAATAGATAGAAAACTGTTTCCCAGGGCATTCATTTTAAGATATTTTATTAATGCACTTTCTGATTAGTAATTCTTGAATATATAGCATACAGTATATGAGACGTTTTTTAATAGGTACTCGACAGATGAAAGATGGCACGTTCCTCATTTTGAGAAGATGCTTTATGACCAATCCCAGCTGACTGTCTCCTATCTTGATGCGTTTGTTGCCTCTGGCAAGACGAGGTTTGCAGATGTTGTGAGAGACATTTTAACGTACGTGATGCGAGACCTCAGTCACCCAGTAAGTATCAGTCAACCTATAGAGTAAAATCTTCTTTTCTTTTGGCTGTGGGCGTAGTCCCGGCGTCTTCCAGTGTATATGGTGCCCTTTCCCAACTGTGAGGCTGTCACGGTGGATGCTTTTCGGCAGGACCGGTGTCTAAGCCCGAGATATTTTCCGCAGTTCCGCCTCTTCCACCAGATCAGGCCGGTGTGGTACGTGGCTGGTTCGATCTACTCCTCCGCTCTTCTCATCTGGTCTTTTTGATGCAGGTGTATCACCATCTGTATGGTGATCAGGTGGCTTCGTTGATGGTGTCCCAGCTGCGAGCTTCGTCTCTGCAACAGTATGAGGTTTCCTGGTGTTCTTTTCCCCACTTATTGTCTCTTGCGTTGAATGTAATAAATACCATTTTCTGGGTGAGCCCCGGAGGCTTCCCGGCACCCTCCCTCCCTCCGATCAGCAGTTTTTCGTGTGATTTTTGATGTTCAGCCTCTGAACTGAATGGTGGAGCAGTTAGTGCAGGAGCTCCTGAGCCCCCCCTTCCCCCCTCCTGGGGGCAGGGGGAAGCTGCTAGGCCATTGCTCCCATAGCCTCTCTGAGAGGGCCAGGTTCTAGCTTGTGGTCCCGGTAGGCAAAAGAACTCCAATCGACTGATGCTACGGTCTAATACATACATATCAGCCTGGTAAGGTCCAGGGAGCTTCCGGAGTTCACCCAGAAAATGGCGTTTCGTTACATTCAACGCTGAGTTTTTGTTCTCTCTCTCTCTCCCGAAAGACAAAGGCCTCCCGCTGAAGGAAAGTGTCCTATGCAACTGAATTTACTTTATTGAATATCATATCAGTATGTGCAGGTGCTTTTGTTTAGTTAAATCTCATTTAAATATTATAGATATAATTATATATTTTATCATTGTCTAGATGTCTTGTACTGTTGGTATTGATATATTTAAAAATTATGTAGATTAATATTCAAATACTGTAGATGGAAAATTTTATTTTTCTGTTATAGTGTGGAGGGTTTTATAGTGCTGAAGATGCCGATTCACTGCCAACCGCTGATGCAAAAGAAAAGTGTGAGGGGGCATTCTGCGTGTGGACCCACCAGGAGATCACCGAACTTTTACCGGACCCGGTGAAGGAAGGGCACGAGGCCACTTTGGCCAAAGTCTTTTGCCACCATTACTCGGTGTCAAAGGGTGGTAATGTTAATCCTTATCAGGTGAGATATTTAGTGTGCAAGTTCATAATATGAAATTACAATTTGCATTTATTTTTCATTCTTTAAGTATGCTAACTTATTAAAAAAATTGGAGCTAAATATACTCAATGTACTGTACTCAATTAAAGCTAGCATAAGGTGTTGATACACTTTATTAAAGCTACCTGTATTATTATGCAGAATAAAAATAATAAGCAAGGCAGGGATGACCTAATAGTGATATAAACTTGCAGCACTGTAGTACATTCGATTTCCAGAATGTAATGGTATATATTTTTTACCCTAAAAATCCGATCTCTCACACTACGTTTATTTTGTTGTTTAATCAGGATCCCCACGACGAACTAAAGAACAAAAATGTCCTCATAGAGCACGATACAATTGAGGAAACTGGAAAGGAATTTGGAGTGGATGAGGAGGAGTGTAAAGAAGCTCTTGCCAAGGCCAGGCAGATATTGTATAACAGAAGACAGCAGAGACCCAGACCACACCTTGACGACAAGATGGTCACCTCGTGGAATGGTTGTAGTGCTTTCAATTCATTTTCATATGTGCTGAATGCCTTATTTGAATTCCTTAAAGTGTTCCACTGTGTTTTGCATGGCTTTATTTTATTTTTTATTTTATAGTATATACAGTATAAACTGCCAAGTCAAGAAATTACCGGCCATTGCATTGTTGTAATGAGTGATGAATTGGTAGAAGTGTAAAGCAACTCGTTTTACAACAAATTTTATACAAGTAAACAATTTAAGTAATTAATTGTTTTGTGTGTGTGTATTGTACATATATTTCAGGTATGATGCTAGGAGCCATTGCAAGAGCTGGTGCGGTCCTCGAAGATGAGACATACATACAGAGGGCTTTAAAGGCTGCTGAGTTTGTCATGACCTATCTTTACAAGGATGAGAAATTGCTTAGGGCTGTTTATGCTGATACAAATAATGAAATATCACTGTAAGTTGGCTGTGCTTAAATTTATTATATCTGCATGTACTTTTCTATTTGTGTGTATGGGTAATGAGTTCTAGTTCTAGTCTTCCTGCCCGGAACGCTTTGCGTAATAGTAGCTTTAGGCATTGTATGTACTAGCTCTATCTATAAATCGATCAAATTTTATAAAATCTCTTGTATGTATGTATGTACCTTACTTGAATAAACATTTTATTTATTTTTTATTTTATTAGTTCTTGGGTGCTGAACTTGACATTGTTATGGCTTGTCAGCGTCTTCTTCAGGTTTTTTGGGGTTCAGTTCCATGGTGCCTTCCTTCGTCACTTGATGTATATACAAACACCTTGGCCCTGGGTTGGGGTCTTATGACCAGTGATTACCAGGCCTCCCAGGGGCATAAGGCAGCTCCCATCCTTTGTGTGCACAGTGCAGTGTGCAGATTTTGGTGGTGTGGCAGGCCCTGCAGAGGGTTTCTTTTCATCTGGACCTTGTTCTCCATTTCATTCTGACTGCTCTGACAGTAGTCTGAATCACAAGGGGTCACACTGGTCCTTTCCTCTTTGAAGTTAGACTTTGTAAGTAACTAATCTTCTGAATGCTCGGGGTTTGGTTCTCTGTGGTTCATGAGCGGGATTTTTTGCAACATTCTTGCAGACAGTTTTTCATATTTCCATTCCATTTCTACAGAGTGGACCATCAACAGTGTCCTGTTGGTTCTGTGGAGCATTCAGTTGCTCTGAGGTGGAACCAGCAGCGTCCATCCTACGTGGCCCCGTTCCCCAATTGTGAGGCTTTCAAAGTGGATTGGACTGGTTGAGGTGGAGGTTCATTATCTTTTCCTTCTGATTGAGCTGTTGTATCAGGTATTGTCCAGACTGAGGACTTTCACAGGCAGGGGGTGATCTTTTTTGCTCTTTGGAAGCTGGCTCAGCTTTTATTCCCAACTCTTCTGTCCCTGTGTCCAAGCCTGTGTAGTTTTCCCAGGCTTCGCCTCTTTCAGCAGATCGGTCTGGAGGTGTTCCTTGCTGGTTCAACATTCTCCTCCGATCTTTGTGACAAGATCTTTTTTTTATGATTATTGCCATTTGTATGGTGCACAGGTGATTTATAGGGCTAGAAATAAACTTTCTTAGCAGTTCTTTTGCCGTTTGTCTTCTGCCTCGGTTCTGGTGGTTTCTTCATTTTTGTCTTGGCTGTATCTTGATCTGTTCTTGTGTGTAATACTGTTGCTTCATATCATTCAGCTTTTGCGGAGCAACTTTTGTTAGCATTTGGTGTCAATACCTCTTCGATGCCATTTCATAAATTGTCTTGTGCATTGTTTTGCTTCCAGCCTGCTCATTCGTCCTTAATCCTAATTTTCCCCAGAATATAACCTGCCAAATTGTTTAACAACCAGGTACCCATTCACTACTGGGTGAACAGAGGTTACAGTTGAGGATTGGCACCCCAGTCAATCCTCCTTGGCCAGGATACGAACCCAGGCCAAAGCGCTCACGAAACGCCAGGCGAGTGCTTTACCACTGTGCCACTGGGACTGTTAAATAGATCTAAAACTCATTTGTTTAATCAGTAAATGTTAGGTCATGCAAACAAACATAGTCTGGTGAGTATGCAGCTGAGGATGAAGGGCAGTAACCTTGATGCTGCTAGTTGCTCACCATCACCAACACAACTAGTCCACATAAATAACAGAGAGTCAAAAAAAGATTAAGAGAAAACATTGAAGCCATACAATGGAACTTGAACCCGCATCCCTGAGCTCCACGAACTCCATGTTTTGAAATATAAATGAATTCTTGATTTTCCCTTGGTCATTATTTGCAATAAAATGCCTGGGTTGGTTGCATGTTAAAGTAACCACAACACACAAGCAGTCACCCATCGATAATAAAAGCAATGCCAAGGGTAAAGAGGGAATTTGGTGATGAATCCAATTTTCTAATTTGGGAATTCTCATTAATATTCTTGTGCTTTAGTGTACAGTTCAGACAGACCTGTTATGACTAATGTTCATCTCTACACTTTTCACCCATTTCAGATATCTTTTAATTAATGTAATATGCACTTATCTAAATTTTATTGATATTTTTAAATTGTTAAAATCTCTGGGACTCGCTCTGTGTATTCGAATGCTACGTTAAACAAATTTGGTTTTCTTGAAACATTGAAATTAATTTGCTTTCAAGTTGGTGTCCTGTGTGGTATACTATTTGCTCTTATCATATTGTAAGATTTAAGAATGTTGATACTTTCAGTGGCTCGTGCATTGAAGGATTTGCTGATGATTACGCATGGATCATCCGAGGGTTTATCAACCTGTATGAGGCTACACTGGACACCGAGTGGCTGAAGTTAGCCGAGAAAATTCAAGATAAGCAAAATGAGCTGTTCTGGGACTCAAAAGGGAATGGCTATTACATGACTCAATCTGGGGACGAGTCAATTCTACTGAGAATTAAAGAAGGTAAAGGAAAATGAAGTACAGTATTTTACTTAAATTCTTTAAAGAACGTTACCACTTACACTATTTACAACCATATTAGTTAGAAATAATGGACCAAATCGAACATACAAAATCTTGTATAAAGGTGTGGAATATTATGAAAATAAGTATCCCCTGCTGTGTCTAGTGTATAAATGAAAGCATTTTGTACTGAATTATATTTGATATTCTTTGTCTTTTATTCTTAGACCAGGATGGAGCAGAGCCCTCAGCCAACTCAGTCTCTGTGGGGAACTTAATACGGCTGAGATACCTTTTGGGTCGCTCAGACTATAGCACCAAGGCAGAGGCTATATTTTGCCTTTTTTCCGACCGACTGAACAAGATTCCTATTGCTCTTCCAGAAATGACAACAGCCCTCTTGTTACATCAGAAACCACCAGTGCAGGTGAGGATAATAGAGAATAACATTATTCCAGCAGATAATTCATCCTGTTGGTCTTACCCAATATGTTGCATTCTTTACATTATCAACCAATTCGTTAAAAAAGTGGCAAATTAGTAAAAATTAAGCACCATAATATTTATGTTTTCTATTTATTAGCCTTAATAAGTTAGGATGGTTGCTTGGGCTCATCAATTTCTGGTTAGGCAAAACAGCATAATTTCTGGGGAGAGCCCCGTCGGGTCCCTGAAGCTAACTACCCAAAGGTAAGTAAAAGGAAGGACTTACTCGGGAGGCAGCAACACCGCAGGTCTCGAGACCAAGAAAAAACAGACGACCGCACCAGGCGCCCCAAAGCCACACGTGAACGGGAAAGAGCCAAAACCTTCACTAGATACCCGATGGTTAGGAGCCTGTTTGACCTCCAAAACCCCCATGCCTGAATGTCTACCCAAGACATGTTGCCAAAAACCGCTGCAAGAGCAGCATACTTCTGAACGGCATGGGGCACGAGGGTAGACGGCAGGCTGTCTGGACTCGTAGATACTGTGGACAACCTGAGACACACGAGCCCTGGAACAGGGAACCAGGAAAACTGGAATCACCCAAAGACCGTCTACCATCACAGAACCAGTGGTGGCAGGCAGCAGTGTAAAGCCGCCACCAAACACAGTACGTGATGCAACAGCCTGGATAAGTTACCCGTTTCATCTCCACTTGTAAAATAAGTTGACAATGCTCGGGATTTTGATTTCATGGCTTAATGTGTATTTTCTCACGGCATATTTTCTAACATCTTGAAATGTAATTTTTTCACAACTTTATATATAATTTACAGAACTTTGCCATATTACCTAGTAATACACAGCCTATCTTCTCTTGCAGATTATCCTGGCAGGAAAAAATGGCAGCGATTCTTTGAAAAAGATGATTAAAATAATCCACTCAGAGGCTATCCCAAATCGAGTCATTTTGCTGGCAGATGATAATAAAGATTCATTCATGTACTCCCGACACTCCTCCCTCAGCAGGTACCACCCCGTCACTAATGATGAAACTCTTGCTTATGTCTGCCAGAATTTCAAATGTATGTTACCTGTCAACACCCCGGATCAACTTAGGGATATCTTGAGAAATCGTGGAGAAAGTTCTCGATTAAAATGCAAGTAAAATGAGATGGCTGTACCTACATATTGCTCATTAGTATTGCTCTATTTAATTAGTTCAATTTTTTTTTGTATGTATAAAGCAAAAGCTAGCAGAGAACAATCTTCATGGTGAGTATTAATGTTGCACTGTTATTCTCGTTTTTTCCAAAGAGTTGATTGTGCAGAATGACTAAACAGTTGATTGGGACTTCTACCACAGTTGTAATATCACATGACGCCTGTTTATGTAGTTCATCCCAGTGCTTTAATTGGAATTTAATATTCCTTTACTTAAATTCCCTTATATTGTAGGTCTAATAAGAAGTTTTCACTTTGTAAAAAGTTTATTGCATGTTTTATATATGCTGTGTGTATATTGTGTGTGTGTGTAATTCTGTAAGTTATTAAATAAATGTAGTTATAGTATGAGAGCCAAGCTCGTGGAGTGTCCCATCTTCCTTATAGTTTTTATCATACTGCAAAGAGTTTTGAAGCTTCTGATGGTGCCTGCACATATGGGTGCAGGCCATATGTGGCTGCACCCATATGTGCAGGCACATCTTCGCTTTAATGGCTAAAGTGAAGGAGCAACTTTGGCTACTACACCGTCATATAAGACGAAAATCAACAGTATGAGTACCAAGTTACTAGACTATATCAAATATGAGATGAAGACTTCACAGGGAAGACTTCACGTCTCGGAAGAAGTCAGCAAAAAGATTCCAGGAAGTTTTCAACATTGTACTAGAGTGAAGGGCTGGTGCAAATGATGATGAAAGGGTGGAAACCATTGTGGGGAAAATGGTACAGTAGTAACTTAGGAAGAGTTAAGGAAAGTATTAGATGTAAACCAGAGCAAATTTTACTGAAGATATTGAAAGAGGCAGCAGAGTTACTACATAACCCTCTGACTAAGGTCAGTAATGTGGTGCCTATATTTGAGAAAGAAAATAAATAGACATGAGGACTTAAACTACAGACTTGTGTCATATGGCATGTGTACCTTGTATAATGCTGGAGACAATGATAGGAAACAGAATAGTGTAACATCTACAGTGAAATAACTTAGCAACTTATGTAAGTTACAAAAATGCATGATTTTAGAAAAGGAGAGGCCTGTCTTACAAACTTGATTGAGTTCTTTGCATAGGTTACCAAGATTTAGCATTTTTGCATTACATTGTGGCTATGTTCCTAGTGACTACCATACTACGCACACAATCGACTTCTCCGTTAAAATACAAGTCAGTTGTGAGCATTCACAAGGTCAGTGTGTATTTGGGCATTGTGCTGTGATGTAACATCTCAGTTGTGCAAATCTCGTACTCCTCCAATTCATTCATAGCCGAAGCTTCCTTGTGCATGGCCAAACTTGACCCCATGCACTAAAAACTGTGGCCCTAGAAACTAAGTTGTCCATTTCTAATTTCATGCTCTTTGAACTTACCTTACAGCCCCTCTCTTGAGCCAGGTAAGCTCACTACGGGCTCACCATAGCCCATGCTACTCACAACTTTTTGCTTTGAGTAGCTGAATCTTAAACAACAAACAACAATTTGCCTTGCCTATTATGTAGCACGTGAATAAGCAATACCTTTCAAGGGACCGAGTGCCGAGATGCCAGGCTTACATTCAGACAATACCTTTCAAGGGACCGAGTGCCGAGATGCCAGGCTTACATTCAGACAATACCTTTCAAGGGACCGAGTGCCGAGATGCCAGGCTTACATTCAGACAATACCTTTCAAGGGACCGAGTGCCGAGATGCCAGGCTTACATTCAGACAATACCTTTCAAGGGACAGAGTGCCGAGATGCCAGGCTTACATTCAGACAATACCTTTCAAGGGACAGAGTGCCGAGATGCCAGGCTTACATTCAGACAATACCTTTCAAGGGACCGAGTGCCGAGATGCCAGGCTTACATTCAGACAATACCTTTCAAGGGACCGAGTGCCGAGATGCCAGGCTTACATTCAGACAATACCTTTCAAGGGACCGAGTGCCGAGATGCCAGGCTTACATTCAGACAATACCTTTCACTTTTGCAGCCACTTATTATTCATACAATGTATTTAGCTGGTTTTATTTAGCTGGTATTTAGCAAGTAGATCATGAAGCTCATCACATTCAGACTTGAGAAGGTGTTTGTAGGCTATCATCTTTGAGCTATTGCCTTCACATTTCAACTTGTTGGTGCAGTCAGGATATCTGTTATTTTCATATCTGGCTGATCAATTGTGTTTTATTTAGAGAATCATAATTAATGTTTCTTAAGTCTTGTATCATATTTTGATTGAAGCACAGTCACTGTATTCACTCTGTGCAACCCTTACATGTCTACCTAATTGCAGAAATTATTGTCATGGTCTCGGCTGTATTATTAAGAATTCAGATTTTATATTTTTGTATACCATCCTCTTAATTTATTTGGTGAATATTACATGAGTATATTTGTGTCTTGCCATATTATGAGATTCTTCCCCATTGATGCCCTTGTTGATGAAGCAGTTAGCTCCATATGCATATTAGAGTTTTAAACTGTTTTGTTTTATACAGTACAGTGGAAACCCACTCAAAATGAATGACTCTTGTCAGATCTGTCGTTGCATCTTATACAGTATATCACTGCATCCAATTTTTGCTATTTTCTCTTGACATTCTTGCACTACATATTGTTTTTAATAGAACAAATGACAGAGCATGATTTATTTTGTATACAGTATTTTGTAGACAAAAAGCATTTTGAGAAAAGTATTTTTAATATTCATAATACTTTCATATTTGTTAGGGGGGACAAAAAATTTTGGATGAGCAAATATAAGATTTGTCACACTTGTGTTTTGTGTTGCCACTTGTCCTATGATCAGAGTGGAATCTTTCTGATTTTAAGTTGAACTGGATCCAATTTCAGTAGATTTCTGTTATGCTGTATTTTTTATAATAAAACAAAAAAACTTATTTTATTTGTACTCAAGATGTTAAATAATTAAAAGTTTACTTGTGAACATATTGTATATTTTTAGTACTAGTGTCTGTTATAAATTAGACTAAGATACATTATCATACACACAGAAATCACAATAACGTGATATCTCAAATGAACAAATCCACAAGGGCCGTGATGAGGGCTCAAACCTACGCTCTGGATGTTCCCAGACGTGCTCTAGTCAACTGTACCACCACATGGTAAAAGAATTGCAACCTGGAGTGCTACTGCCCCCCACAAGGATCCTGAGGCTTCCACTGAAACCTAACTAGGGTTTTACTTAACACTTTCGCGCTCTGCACAAGCGAGCCTCTCACTATCTAAGGTGGGTCTGGGCATATCCGTGCACTCCCCGGGAGCATGCCGTAATTCTGAAAAGTGTACTCTTTTCAACTTTATCACCTCAATTCTCATCCTAGGATTTTCAATTTGGTATCATTGTGTTCGCAATAGAATTCTCTACAGGACTAAAGGCATATAAACTGCAAAAGCCCGGCTTACCACCCGCAGCAACCAGAGAAATTGAGAGCGAGTTACCCGGGAGCGCCCAAGAGCAATAATATGTGTACACTCTTTTCACTTTGGTCCCCTCAATTCTCGTCCTAGATCTTTCATTTTGGTATCAATGTATTCGGAATAGAATTCCCAACAGGAGTATATGCATATAATGTACAAAACTGCAGTGTGCTCCACCCGCTGACAAGATGAAAGAGAGCACTTCGCCACCCCAAGGCTCCTCTCATTACATTGGAGAGCGCGGTAATACTGAAGAGTGTATACTCTTTTCAACTTTGTCACCTCAATTCTCGTCCTAGGATTTTTAATTTGGTATCATTGTGTTTGCAATAGAATTTTCCACAGGACTAAATGCATATAAAGCCCAAAAGCTCTGCAAGAAAGTGAGAAAGTGAGAGCATGTTACCTGGGAGTGCGTAAGATAAAAAAAAAAATGTGTACACTCTCTTCACTTTGGACATCTCAATTCTTGACCTAGGTCTTTCATTTTGGTATCATTTTGTTTGCAATAGAATTCCCTACAGGAGTATATGCAAATATAAAGTCCAAAAACCTGGCGTACCACCCACAGCAAACAGAAAGTGACAGTGTTACCCCCAGTGAGTGCTAATAAAGAGCAATAAAATGCGTATACTCTTTTCAACTTTTTTTTACCTCAATTCTGGTCCTAGGTCTTTCATTTAGGTATCAATGTATTCGCAATGAAATTCCCTACAGGAGTATATGCATATAATGTCCAAAAATTGTGGCAAGACCTTCCTGAAAACGCCGCTACGTTGCCGAACCGACGACTCAATGCCGAGTCCTTTCCGGACTTCCCTCTATTTAACAGAGGACTCGGTGCTGAGTTTTTACTGAGTGAAAGTGCTAACTGGCATGGGGAAATTGTGTGAAACCCAGGTTAGGCTTCAGTGGAAGCCTCGGGATCCTCGTGGGGGCAGTAGCACTCCGGGTTGCAATTTTTTTAATATGTTGTGCTACAGTTTACTAGAGCACGTCTGGTAACATCCAGCGCGTAGGTTCGAACCTTCATCAAGCCCCTTGTGGATTTGTTCATACACTTTATACACACACACACACATTGTAAAATTAAAATATTAACCCATTTTTTTGAAAACGTGAGGAAATGTAGACTGCGTATTTTGATCCCAATCCGGGATCCTCTTCAGCACTATCAAAGAGTATCCCGGGTTGGGAGATCGAAATATACAGTCTACGTTTCCTCGTGTTTTTAAAATACTGGTTATTATTTTCATATACGGTATATACTGTATATATTAATATTATATTGTACTCATATATAGTGTACTGTATATAGTTATTACCTTTCCTCTAGAGAATGTTAAAAGCAAACGGTATAGCCCCATATTGCGGTAATGTGTAGCTAAGTAAGAACAGTCCATTAAGCTTCCATGAGTATCAGTGTACATAAGTCTCATAATATGGAATGCTGGTTATATATTCAATACAAAAGTTGCATTTAAGGTATTACTGTACAGTACATAATGTATAAATATTATCATATAGTAATGGTTATACGAGGTTTAGTGTTAGTTGGGAATAATGATTCATGTCTACCTAACTATTTAAATTAGTGCAAGTATCATAGCTTTATTTTGTCGTCAAACACCGTTGTTTGTACCTTTAATTATTTTATTAAGCTAACCTTTCACCGAGTCTTTCATGTTACTGATCATCGCAGCCCCTGTGGCATGGGATATAAAAATATAACTTTCAGTTGATGTGAATCTGTGTGTTGGGTGATCAGTGCACACTTTGTGTAAGTGGAGGTCAGCTGTTGTAAGGCTGGTGGAGAATTCTGTAAGCATCCACCTGCTGTAAATACATGAAAGGGGTACATATGTCAAGTAACTTGTGTATAATAAGTAGTACACAGGTCCACACTGGCAGCACTTTGGGAGCTTCATAATTAAGAAAACACGGATGATCCCTTGACCAGACAGAGTTACTGAAGTGTAGCTGTTGTAGCATGCAGACCCACAATCATTCATTCAAGTTATTCATGTCAAGAGAGTGGACTTTGCTAGCCATTATTGTTTGGGGTTTACCACCCAACAAGACTGGCAGATTTCACAAAGGCAGGCAGCCTTTTATTAGATACCAAATATTCATGTTTGTTTTAATTCCCTAGGTAATAAGAGACCAAGTGCCATAGTGTGAATCACGGCACCTCATAAATAACAGAACGGCTTTTGTTTATTTTTGATGCTGCATATTTGTCCTTATATAAGCTAATTGTTAATGTCTTTAGCTGGTATGCTAAAAATAGTAATGCAAACACTCCTCATATACAGTACATATATATATATACTGCATGCATATCTATGTTTAGATTCATAGTATATTATATTGGAAAATTATATTTAAAATATATGGAACACACACATGCTCAGGAGAAGCGAGATATAAACAGTTGAGCAGCCACATGCACAAGCACTGAACAATAATCAGTGCTATGTTTTAGCAGATGCCCTTTTGGTCGTCATTGGTGACGACTTTGTATTTTCTTTCATATTAAAGTGGCTGTAGCACAGCAATTCTTAAAATTTTGTTTAATTATTAACCTGGATATTTGGCACATGGTATCAGTATGCCAGGGAAGATGATAAGTGGAATGAACTAGGAACTGAAGTGGTGGAAGAAGACTCCATACATAGATTATGCTGTGGTGGAGGAAGATGCCATTCACAGATTGTGGGATTGTGGAGGCAGATTCCATATACGAATTATGGCATTGTGGAGAAAAACTACAAATAAGAATTGTGGAATGGTGGAGAAAGACTTCATGCATGGATTGAAGAGGAAGACTTCAATTGTGGAGTGATGGAGGAAGACTCCATATATGAATTGTAACGTGGTGGAGGTAGACTCCATACACAGATCATAGAGTGATGGAGGAAGGCTCCATACAGAACCTTCTTGAGGTTATCTTGAGATGATTTCGGGGCTTAGCGTCCCCGCGGCCCTGTCCTTGACCAGGCCTCCTTTTTGTTATTCCCCCCCCCTCAGGAAGCAGCCTGTAACAGCTGTCTAACTCCCAGTTACCTACTTACTGCTAGGTAACAGGGGCATCAGGGTGAAAGAAACTGCCCATTTGTTTCCGCCTCCACCAGGGATCAAACCCGGAACCTCAGGACTATAAATCTGAAGTGCTGTCCATTCAGCTGTCAGGGGCCCCTTTCACCTTCACTACACTTCCTGCATATTTTCTCCTTACCCTACACATCATCACACAAACCCACTTTCTCGAGAACTAAACCTCACATCACTAGAAGACAAGAGGTATGAGTGACATGATCACCACATACAAGATTTTTAAATGAATTGTTAGGGTGGATGAATATATTTAACATGTGGCACACACACACAAGGGATCACTGAATACCGAAATGATCCGTAGAGACATTAGAAAGACATTTTCGGTGTCAGTGTAGTTAACAAATGGAATGCATTAGGCAGTGATGTGGTGGAGGCTGACTCCATACACAGTTTCAGATATAGATATGATAGAGGCCAGTAGGCTCAGGAATCTGTTCATCAGTTGATTGATGGTTAAGAGGCGTAACCAAAGAGCCGAAGTTCAACCCCAACAAGCACAATTAGGTGAGTACACACTTCTCCCACATATACCTCCCCCATACACACCTACTCCCACACCTTCACCCCACAATGCTCCCCCCCCCACACCCACCACAGCTGACAATTTTCACAAATATTTTACAATTTTTTCCTGTTGGTTTCTTGACGATTCTGTTTATTTCTTTGTTCCTTTAGCAGATGTTCCCGTGACACAACTTTGCCCACCAGTCTGACCCTTCCACACTGCCTCCTCCCCCCTCCCACACCGCCTCACCCCCTCCCACACTGCCTCACCCCCTCCCACACTGCCTCACCCCCCCCCCACACCGCCTTACCCCCTCCCACACTGCCTCACCCCCTCCCACACCGCCTCACCCCCTCCCCACACTGCCTTACCCCCTCCCACACTGCCTCATCCCCTCCAACACTGCCTCACCCCCTCCCACACTGCCTCACCCCCTCCCCACACTGCCTCACCCCATCCCACACTGCCTCACCCCCCTCCCACACTGCCTCACCCCCTCCCCACACCGCCTTACCCCCTCCCACACTGCCTCACCCCCTCCCACACTGCCTTACCCCCTCCCACACTGCCTCACCCCCTCCCACACTGCCTCACCCCCTCCCACACTGCCTCACCCCCTCCCCACACTGCCTTACCCCCTCCCACACTGCCTCACCCCCTCCCACACTGCCTCACCCCCTCCCACACTGCCTCACCCCCTCCCACACTGCCTCACCCCCTCCCACACTGCCTCACCCCCTCCCACACTGCCTCACCCCCTCCCACACTGCCTCACCCCCTCCCACACTGCCTCACCCGCTCCCCACACTGCCTCACCCCCTCCCACACTGCCTCACCCCCTCCCACACTGCCTCACCCCCTCCCACACTGCCTCACCCCCTCCCACACTGCCTCACCCCCTCCCACACTGCCTCACCCCTCCCACACCGCCTTACCCCCTCCCACACTGCCTCACCCCCTCCCACACTGCCTCACCCCCTCCCCACACTGCCTTACCCCCTCCCACACTGCCTCACCCCCTCCCACACTGCCTCACCCCCTCCCACACTGCCTCACCCCCTCCCACACCGCCTCACCCCCTCCCACACTGCCTCACCCCCTCCCACACTGCCTCACCCCCTCCCACACTGCCTCACCCCCTCCCACACTGCCTCACCCCCTCCCACACTGCCTCACCCCCTCCCACACTGCCTCACCCCCTCCCACACTGCCTCACCCCCTCCCACACTGCCTCACCCCCTCCCCACACTGCCTCCCACACTGCCTCACCCCCTCCCACACTGCCTCACCCGCTCCCCACACTGCCTCACCCCCTCCCACACTGCCTCCCTCCCACATCGTCTCTTCCGCCTCTAAACCGTCTCTGTTGTCACCCCACACTCCACTTCGCCCCCCCCCCAACTACCCTCTTTGCTGCTACACTCTTATCGTCGTGTGTGTTGCTATGTAATACCGCTTCCCTAATACGCTTGCAGGTCAGTGGCACTGTATCTCGGGCTCTGCTCTTCTCCAGGAAGTCTACTTCAACTTTACTCACATATTATCATCATTATTTGGTTCTATTTGGTTTTGAAATTGTACATTGCATCCGACCAACTACCTCTACTTCGTCTCAACTACCTCTGATCGTTCATCTACCTCTGATCGTCCATCTACCTCTGATCGTCCATCTACCTCTGATCGTCCATCTACCTCTGATCGTTCATCTACCTCTGATCGTTCATCTACCTCTGATCGTCCATCTACCTCTGATCGTTCATCTACCTCTGATCGTCCATCTACCTCTACTTCATCTCGTAACAACCTCGACAATTCCCTCCGTGGACTGCACGTACAGTGAACGTAATAATACTTTGTAATACAGTTCAAACAGCTTGACCACTTTAATCTGTGACCTCTCCTTCTCCTTCTCTAGATTTGGAATGTCTTATTTGTGTTTAGTTTGTCTATGGTGCTTAGTATCTTGCACGTTTGAATCATGTCTCCTCTGGGTTCTTGTCTCCTCTAGTGTGTGTAGGTTCAGGTCTCTTATAACCTGTCCTCGTAGCTCAGCCTTCTAATTTCCGGAATCAGTCTTTGGACATTCTCAATTTTCTTGTTTGTTTTTGCAAGGAATGGGCTCCAGGCTGTGTGTTTGTGTGCTTACTTGTTCACCGTGTGTGCTTGCTTGGTGAGCATCAGCTCATGGGCTCCGCCTTTTAGTAGCTGGTTACCTAATATTCATACTTTAGGCTTGAGTGATGAAGATTAAGCCAACCCAAGAGGTGGCATGGGCATGAATAGCCCGAAAACTTTAGGCTTGTATTGAAGTCCTTCCCCCCCCACCTTCCCCTTCAAGGTCGAACTACTGTCTTTCAACCCCCACAACAGTTGACTAACCTCCGGGTACCTATTGATTGCTGGGTGAACAGAGGCATTAGGTGATAGGAAACGTGTCCCACCATTTCTGTCCCGCCCGGGAATCGAACCCATTAGATAGTTTTAATAACCCCAGCTTATTTCACTTGTCTGTTATACAGTAATCGAAGAAGTGCTTCCTTACATCCCCACGACATTAGGTGAGACAGTCGTCGGCGCTCAGAGCTGGCTAGGCTTTTGGCGCCATCCCATAATTGTCATGGGTTCGTATCCTGGCCGGGAGGATTGACTGGGCGCAAATCCTTAAGTGTAGCCTCTGTTTAACTCAACAGTAAAATGTGTACTTGGTTGTAACAACGATTCTTCGCGGCGGGGATCGTATTCCAGGGACCTGCCCGAAACTTCGCGGCGGGGATCGTATTCCAGGGACCTGCCCGAAACTTCGCGGCGAGGATCGTATTCCAGAGACCTGCCCGAAACTTCGCGGCGGGGATCGTATTCCAGAGACCTGCCCGAAACTTCGCGGCAGGGGATCGTATTCCAGAGACCTGCCCGAAACTTCGCGGCGGGGATCGTATTCCAGGGACCTGCCCGAAACTTCGCGGCGGGGATCGTATTCCAGAGACCTGCCCGAAACTTCGCGGCAGGGATTGTATTCCAGGGACCTGCCCGAAACTTCGCGGCGGGGGTCGTATTCCAGGGACCTGCCCGAAACGCTACGCGTACTAGTGGCTGTACAAGAATGTAACAACTCTTGTATATATCTCAAAAAAAAAAAATAATGTCTGGGGGTTGTTGTGCTCGCACGTTTCGTATTTAATATTTCGCGTGTTAATGTATATATATAAATTTGTATATAAAATATATATATTTTTCCGGCTTACCTGAAAGTCTGTATTTTTCGTGTTTGAAATGTTTCATGACTACAGTTTTGTTCTCATTCTGCGCGTGTAGCTTCTTGTTGTTATTCATTGTAACGAGGTGTTGATCTCTTTTTACCTCTTCATGTTATTGCTGGGGCTGGTCTTCACTGGCGGGTTGTACACTGCAGTCGTAGGTCTGCTGGTCTCCCAGAGGCTTCTGCTAGACCCCAGGAGAGCCCAGCTAGTGTTCCCAGGAGGGCCCAGCTAGTGCCCCCAGAAGATCCCAGCTAGTGCCCCCAGAAGGTCCCAGCTAGTGCCCCCAGAAGATCCCAGCTAGTGCCCCCAGAAGGTCCCAGCTAGTGCCCCCCAGAAGGTCCCAGCTAGTGCCCCCAGAAGATCCCAGCTAGTGCCCCTAGTCCCCCCAGAAGATCCCAGCTAGTCCCCCCAGCCCAGCTAGTGCCCCCAGAAGGTCCCAGCTAGTGCCCCCAGAAGGTCCCAAGTGTCCCAGCTAGTGCCCCCAGAAGGTCCCAGCTAGTGCCCCCAGAAGATCCCAGCTAGTGCCCCCAGAAGATCCCAGGTAGTGCCCCCCAGAAGGTCCCAGCTAGTGCCCCCAGAAGGTCCCAGCTAGTGCCCCCAGAAGGTCCCAGCTAGTGCCCCCAGAAGGTCCCAGCTAGTGCCCCCAGAAGGTCCCAGCTAGTGCCCCCAGAAGATCCCAGCTAGT